GACACATCCAGGTTCCTGCTTTCTCAACACACCTTCTCACTCTCAGGTCCTATGGGGACCCATAGAGTCCTGGTTTTCCCTTTGCAGGGTCCCAATCTTCAACGTTGTTTCTCCAGCATGAGTCTTGCCAGCCGTATGTCCATAGCAGAACAAGTGCTCAAGGCCTTGGAAAGCTTACACGATGGCAACATCGTTCATCGAGGTTTGTCATCTTTCCCGCTCCCTTTTTGTATCTCTAGCCAAATATCCATAGACTTGAGCGATAAGAACATCATTTGTGGCATGCAGCCGATGAGTCATATCAACACCGCAACAAAGTACCAGTCCCTTGGCCGTCCTAGAAAGACTCTTGTGCAGCCGCACACGAACTGGACTGGGGAGATTGTGCTGCCAATGCAGGTGCCGGCCAATCTTCTGACGGGATCAGTCTATTTGGGCGATTTTGGCATATCGATACGTGCAGGCACCCAAGTCGAATGCAAGCAGCAAACGCCTAGCTGCTGGTGCGCCCCAGAACGATTTCACAACGTAAATCCGACTGCTGCCAGCGATATGTGGAGCTTCATGTGTATATTCGCAAAGCTGTATCTAGGTGCGCTTCCTTTGTCTCCTTACGGTGAGCCCCTGGCAGAGATGGTTAAGATCTTCGGCTCACTACCCCAACGTTGGAAGGGCTATTTTTGTTATCCACAGAGAGCCAATTCATCATGGTACGATCCGAGAACAACGCCTGAAACTTCACTCGACGCACTCATTGCACGCGTTCGCCCTGATGTCGACTCTACTGAGCGCTCTTACGTAGCACATGTTCTGAGAAAAGGCTTTGCTTATGAGCCTGATGAGCGGATAACCGCCAGGCAACTTCTACAAGACGCTTATTTTCAGAACATCCTAAGACGCTACATCAATTAAATTAACGTCCCCTCAGATTCACAGCATGTCTCTACATCAAGACTTTGCCAGGCGGCTCCTCGTCCTTAAATACCGCAAGGCTTTCCAAAAACGAAGATGTCGCTTCATGTGGCGTTGACTGGGCCTTCAAGAAGGTGTGGGCCATTGATTGGGATCAGGAAGCAGAGATTGCGCTCTATTCTAGAATGCAAGTCTAAACGTAGGAAATGAAATGTATACTTGAGACAAGTTGCCTCTTCGTGCTGCTCAGTGAGAAAATCAGACACAATCGCCATACAACAGAGCAACCACTGTTGATCGTTTGTCACCACGCTCGGGTTATACTCTACAGATGTTCACCTATGACATAAATCATTTTCAGCGTGATTCCGAAAATGGTTCCTGCGCCCAAAGCTGTCCGGGTTGACACTGTGCAAGCAGGCAAGAACATATTATAGAGCTGCAGGATAAGAAGTAGAGAATAGTAAAAATTTAAGAAGCCAAAATAAAGCGCATGGTCCAATACCTATAACCCGAGATTATCTACGCTGCTAATTCGCTGTGCAGTGTGCTGTGTTGGATGACAGAATTCCTGTCCGGTTACATGGGTGTCCGACCACGCAGGGATGGATGTTACCGATTCTATTCAAAATAAAGGCAAATTTTTACTAGTAATTCACGCTGTCAAACCTGATCCAAGCTGAACGACTCTATAGCATTCCAGAAGTCACCTTACGCCGTCGCGTTCATGGTCGCGTTGGGCGCGTCGATTACCGCCCAGTCGGCCATAAACTCACAGCAACAGAAGAGGAGATTTTAAGAGCATGGCTACATATAAGTTCCAGAATATGTGCCTCGATTCAGGTTTGCTAGCTGCGACCTTTTAACAGATTCTACCCAGTTTCGTGATTCTGGTTCTTTCTTTATCGCACCTTTCGTTGACACTGTGCTGACAGCAGATGCCGTACACTTCCTCTGCTAGAACTCTCACCATGGCATGTTATCTGCATTTGGCCTGATTGACTTGCATACCGTACTACTTCGTCATCGAATAATCGGAATGCATACATATCTCGCCACCTAAGCCAGTATTCTCTTGCATAAGTATATCGTTCTGCAGACTGAGCATGCTCGTCTGCCTTTCCAAGAGAAGTACTTGTTCTTCAAGCTCAGACTGTCGTGTGAGCAAAGCCCCAATCTTCCTCTCCAGTCCTGCCCATTCAATTTCTCTTCTTCGACGGAATCTTCATCTGTGGCTAGTATTAGCGCTGTCAGATTGTGGGACCAAGTGAGTCGGAACCTACGCATTCAGCTTATTTTGAGTACGTCGTTTCTGTTTCTGAAGAGCTTGCTTTTCTTCTGGCGAAGTAGCTTTGTCTATCAATTGATCGGTCTCTCCTAGACTTAGCTCCAACAAGGTGTCATTGGTGGCCACTTGTCTCCTGGCGCCACACTCGCGATCGCCGTTCGGTTCGAGCTTCTGGCTGTTGCTCAAGCATGCCTCCTTGTTGCCAGCAGCTTGTAGTACCATGACTACATCCTTCTTCGGAGGACCCTCCGTGTCGAGAGGCAATGATAGATCTGAGACAGATTGCACACCTTGAGTACTGTTAGGTTCAGCAGCGGGCGTACATGACACTTCAGCATAGGATTGGAGCATGTCAGCTATAAGTCCGGTATCGTCGTGGTGGGCCCCAATATTTCCAGCGTCTGGGAACATGCTGAGACTAGACAGGTACTCTTCGGGCATGCTCATGTACTGATCCCATGGCATGAAGAAGAACCTAATAATACATGATTAGAGCTGCACTGCACCGCCGTAAATAGCACTTACTTATCTTGTGCGTTCTCGGGGAGAGTGTGTCCCGCGAAAGGTCTCATTCCCGCTTGATCAAACATGGAGGTGAGATTAGAAGTGTGTTTGTTACTGGCTGCCATAGACTGGTGTATCTTTTCAGTTGTTGGTTTTAATATTGTGTACCAGAGGATGATTGTCGAAAGAGCTATGCTGACTGACCTTGCCGTCCTGAACCACAGCTTTTTATACCCGAGAAGTCTCAGCCTGCATTCAGGGACTCGCATGATCGAGCGGACATGACCGGGCAGTCGGCGCGCTATCGTCTGTAAGACGATATGCATGTGCTATGATGGAACGGGCTATGCATCCATGGCGGACTGACATTGGCTCATTGTCGAAGCATGATGCTGGCTGAAGGTAACCTCTCTCGTTTCATTTCCGTACGTATACCAGGTTCCTGGCAGAGATGAAGCCGCTGTAGTGGATAGATTTGTTTTCGGATTACGGACGCTTGGTCTGCCATAAATGGGGTTTTGCAGGTGGTCATGTTATGCCACCGCTCTGGCTTTAGTCACGTCGGGATGATTGACCCCGTCCAGTATGGCTAGAAAGCAGAGGCTACAGATCGCCCTGCTAAGCCACATGAGCTAGGAATCAATACGCATAAAAACCGCAGTTGCGAGAAACATCTCTCTAGACCACGGTCAAGACGGACGACTGTCCTTAACAGGCTCAATGTTCATTTGTCCATTTGTGCTTCGCCTCTTGTCTATCACTACAGTATCTAAGCCATGCGTCTGTCGTCATGCTGAGGGTCATGAGATTGGTGATAGTTGAATGCCTGGAACTCTGATTATGTATTGAATATTGCTGTGGCTGTTCTCATGCCGTTTCGAGGGATGACGAAGGTCGATAAGGGGTGATGTGTATCTGCTAATCCCAGCGCGCCATTGTGGCTCGTAAGTGATGGATGCGGTAGCATTGAAGGGTAGTCCCCCACCATGCCTCTCGGAAAGGCGGAAAGTGGATCATGCGGCCGCGCTTGTAAGTTCTTCTCCAATGATATGTGCAGCCAGAAGGCGAAGTTGAACGTATGGACATGAGATACACACGTTCAGAGGCCCAGCGTGAGTGGTATAAAGACTAACTTCCACCGCCGGACACAAAAGTCCAACTAAAAAAGATTACTGCAATTCCATGCTTTTCACATCATCCGGTCCACTCGCGATATTTGAAATGGATAATGCCGTACGCCGTTCAGGTTTCTGATATCTGAACATGATCGTAGGCCTAATCACCGTTCCACACATTCAGAGTGCTGACTGAACTTAATAGGGTCCAGGTGATCCGGCCGTTGACACGAGTTGTAAATTGCCGTGCAAGTCAGCTGTCGAGACTCTTGACAGGAGCCCAAAGATCAGCGACCACGCTTGCGAAGTCACATCGATCGACGGTGCTCGCGATCCTAAGGAACTAAATAGTGAGTCCATCAACGTCTTTGCACGACTGTGAGAACGGGCCTTACCATTTGATTCAGCGATTCTTGCCCAGCTTCTTGCTCATCGTCTCTCTACTCAAAGCAATACTGCAACAATGATGGAGATCTTCGACGATCCGCAGCCCAGAGAAACAATTCTGAGCTTACAGATATGGAGGCTAGAGCAAAGAGTTCTGCAGCTAGAGTTGTGTAACCGGAGACTGGAATGTACATTTGTGCGCAAGGACGAGCAAGACGATCGTCTTAATGCCATTGACGAGCAGGTGGAATGTATTAGGAACGATATCGACATGTTCGGCGACAGGATCTTGGACCTTGAGAACGGCGAATCTAGAGGAAAATTAGCAGGACCATCAGATGCTGATATCGCTGGCGCGGCGGCGCTCATCAAGCTTGTGACTACTATGAAGAGTGGACATTTAGATTGAAGCATTAAGGAAATTGACGGACCAAAACGGGGTCTTGGCACGGGATAAAGCCATAAAGGCAAGGATATACTCAAAAGTATATTGTACGGATATCGAATGTGCCGTGATAGGCGCACAAGACTAGAGAGAGAGAGATGTCTGCGTCCTCAAGAGAGGGAGAGGATGTCCTCTGGTTTATATACACAAAAAGGGCCGTTTTGGCCAGATCCCTGAGGCATGAGGCTTAGTAAGCTCCCAGTGGTTCGACAGAAATGCAATCGGTGAAGCACCGAACATCTTGACACAATTGAACTCTGTTTTTCAAGGCAGCGTAGGAAACCAGCTACAGACTTACTACGAGCGAGTACAGTAAGTATTGAGATCCTTATTCAAAAGTCAGCAGCATAGAACTCCTGGGTTATAGCTTTGACTATGCTCAACGCTCGAGTGGCGTTGACTGCATTTCGTGGTACCCCCTGCACAGCGACGCTCCCGCGCGAATTCGGCTGGGATGAAAGTGCCATTTTTTTGCAATCCGTCCTGCATGCTCGTGCCGTACTCGTAATCGCTAGCTGCGATTATATAGCAGTGTCATATTCAGGCCTATCTTGTCCTCACAGTGTTTTGTGTTTGCTCAGTCTTCTCTGAGGGCGAAGTCGGCATTCTGTTGCTTGTTGTTACCGTCATGTTCAATGATCCTCGATAATGGCATTCAGTGCGGTTGGCAAGCACAAAGATATGTTATTTCTGAGCATGTGCTGCCTTTGTGCTGCTGGGATCGAAACGGCAGGGAACCGTTTCTGGGACCTCGTGGTACCCACGTCCCGCTTTCGGGCCCCCCTCTCGAACCAATAAATACACGAGTGCTCGTTAGATCTAGAATGTGCCTGATTTCGGGCCTCTTGTCAAGTATGGACTGCCTGACGGAGTTCGTTCAACCGCATATGCATGCTGTGATGCGCTTGCGAAGTGCTATGCGAAGCTTTCGAAGGCAAGCTAACTTGCTCCCCGCAAGTAATGTGGGACCACTCTGACAACCCCTCGACATTCGCAACCTCAATCTGTCAGTTTCTTCGTCGCCATAACCACAGCAAAAATGTAGGTCTTGGTCAAGCTGAAAAAAGCAACTTTATGCTTTTGGAAAAGTCGATATGGAGCGAAAGCTGCGGAGACGGGATTTACCTGAAAATGGCTGTATTGATCTCATCATACTGTATAACATCCCAAATAACTTGCATTTCTTCTGAATTTCTCTAGCTAACTGCCTGCTGACAGCCTCTTGATCATGCCTGTGGTGGTGGCCTCCCATATACCCCAGGCCAGGTTCAGAATCCTACAACTACTGATTTTCTCGAACAGAGCCTCTCCGCTTCTTTTCTGACTGTCTTTTCAAAGTCCTCCCGCGTCTCAAGGAGCATTATCCCAAACCGTTCGCAGACGATCTGAACGTTACACTTCCGACCAAGTCCTTGCGGACAACATACAATCAGTTTTCTATCTTGTGCGTGAAGACCTAACTCCAGTAAAGTGATCGGTGACAACTTCACAGGGTCAGGGTCAAAGTACATGGCGATGATGTCAGACTGGTCGAGGTGATCCATTTCCCAGTCAACTTGTTCCTTGAACTTCGGATTCGAGATATCTTGCTTCAGGGTTGGATCGAATGTATTGCCTGCCTGGTCGCGGCGTGGGTTGTAGACGACTATAGGCAAGTCTGAGAGTATTTCTGCCATTTCTCTCTGCCATGGAGGGGCCGTTCCCATATTTATATTTCCAGCGAGGAAAACTGAGCGCAGCGGCCTCACATTGAGCCTGGCTGGCGGTTGAATATGCTGTCCTAGCACCTGTTTGCTTTGGGCTGGCATCGTGGAGGAGGGTGGGTGAGAAGGAGTATGTATATGGCGGATGATGATATGATCTGGGTTCGTGGTGGTTACTGTCTTGGAGAATTATCAAGCTCTTAAGCTCATTCGAGCTGTGCACTTTTATAGCGATCTTGGAGCCTTTGTGACCCTCACAAAAGTGTGGCTTATCCTTGTGACCGCTTAGTCCAAAGGGGGCCGTTTGTGGGACCCCCCTTCGTGATGACGACTCTTGAATCACTAAACAGAGGCTGAGCAATATGATGACCCACATGGACTCAGACAGGAAGCCATCCATTGGGTTTCTGTTTCACAGACACGCATATGTGATTACTCGTCATGGCTGAGGGCCTCGCATAGCCGGCCAAGCGGACGGATTCATCCACACACGGCATGTCCACAGCCACCGCATGAATGAGGTATAATCGACAGGATGACGTGTAGAATGATATAGCATAGTTCAGTGTCAAGGCTGTGCTATTCGCTGATCATGTATTGAGGTTCAAACAGATAAAGAGAGAAATTACCAACTCCTCGACCATCTTTCATTCTGCCAGCCTTCCACTTATCCGTCAGAGAGATACCTACCTTGGAATTTAAACTTCTGTTCTCATTTTTAACAGGTCGAAGAATAGGCCGTTCTTCTAACTAGATCAAATCGTCCGTTACTTCGTTGTAATTCTCATGGCAAACCTCAACCGGTCACATGTGGCATCTCTCGAAGGAATGTCTTACAACGAGAGAGTTGGAGGCGGCGGTTTCGTTGTGCTGGAGAGACCTACGATAGACTTACCCCTCCGGATCAAAAGCAAGGATAACAGAATCGAAATAGACGACATCTCGCCACAGATAGGCTGCGAAGTCCTAATCCACTACGTCGACTACGATGGTATCATCGTAAAGGTGGTCCCACCAATGGAGCCAGTCGTTAATCAGGGCCGCGGACCTGTTGAAATCGTGCTGTTAATCGACGTTTCGCCAAGCATGAATGATCTAGCCCCCGTGCCCCCGCGTAGCGAAGGCGATGAATCGGAGCAAAAGGGATTCACTGTGCTAGATCTGACCAAGCATGCGGCGTACACAGTCACCGAGAGTCTCAACGAACATGATACTCTTTGTATTGTGACCTTCTCGGAAACTTGCAAGGTAAGCGCTTTCATTGCCTGATAATGCCGCCATGTCTCGCAACCAGGATGCTAACTTGTTCTGGCAGGTCCTTCTCCCACGTCTCCCCATGAACCACAAAAACAAGAACTGTGCAAAGGAAAAGATCCTGAGCATGCAACCGGAAAGCTCCACCTACCTGTGGTCCGGTATGCAACTTGCACTTGACCAGTTCAGCGGCGATGTGGACAAGACAGCCGCGCTGATGGTCCTCACTGACGGCCAGCCAAACGAACCTCTGTCAAATGGCATCATTGCGGCAATGCGGAGGTGGTGTAGAGGCAGGGGGCTGGGTAGGATTCCTGTACCTATTCACACCTTCGGCTTCGGCTACAACTTAGAAGAAGGCCTTCTGCAATCCATTTCTGATCTTGGAGGAGGTGACTACAGCTTCGTACCTGATGCTAGCATGCTCGGTACCGTTTTCAACCACGCCGTCGCCAACCTGAAGTCAACATACGCCCAGACGGCTACTTTGCAGTTGATGTACCCAGGGCACTTAGAGCTTCAATATCTTCAACATCAACGGGCGCGCGTTGACGGAGAAGAACTTCTTTGACGCCGTCACAAACGACGGCACACGAACCATTGTTCTTTCTAGGGACAAAGAAATTGCCATCACTCGCCGTTTGATTGCTACCACAGCGGGGTCTGTCCAAAATAATCAAGCAGCTACGGATCTGCTGAGTGAGATGGATGCGCCAAGACCTTCCCCAGATAATCTGCCAGTGCAGGGCAGGAGTCTAGGCGACATGTCGCAAGCGTTGAGGATTGAGTCTGACACTGATACGGATACAGAGGGCCAGCAAAATTGGACCAAGAGAAGAGAGATACAACAATTCACGAGCTCGCCTACTGCGGTTCAGAAGACTCAAAAACGAGTTACCCGCATTGACTTCAACAACATCATAAAAGCAGCGGCCCCAAGAACTGCAGGGAATCATGAGTCAACTGAGCAGGCCTTGCCTAGGAGCGATGTTCAGGATCCTCTGGCTCTAACGACAACCACCTTGCAGCCCTCGACAGAAGCGGGACTAAGAATGCAGCAGAAAGTTGATATACACTTTAAAATGAAGGAGCACGGAATATGGAAACTTTTACACTCTCTCTCTGTCGACCCTTCTGATACGATGGAGCTACAGCGACTTGTGATAAAGTATATGAGAAAGAGAGAACCTATGTACCCATACACCAAGGACATGCGAATGGTAAAGGTAGGAACATGTTTCGAAGACGCTATCGCTGACGGAGAAACACATTGTACTTGATCCCGGCTGGCGGGGATACCGATGGTGGCGAATTTTATGCTGCACAACCGCCTAAGAAACTCCAGCAACTTGAGACGAAAATTCGTATTGAGGGGCCGTTACAATTGGATCTGTTGAAGAATGATCTTTGTTCTTGAGACAAGATCATTATTGTTAGCGGAGCTGGCATTTCTACAAATGCGGGCGGTAAGTCCTACTTCACTAACGCAATATGAGATTCTGTTAACTTAGTAGCTTTAGTCGCCGACTTCCGCAGTACTTCTGGAACAAAGATGTCGAGTAAGAGGCTGTTCCATGCATCTGTGTACTTGGACCCTCAGGCAGCGGAGCAATTGCACAACGTACTTCTAAAAACGTTTGAATCTGCTTTAAAACCTGAGTTCACGCCATTTGAGGCCATGATGGAGAATTTGGCGGAGTCCGGCCGTACCCAACGACACTATACTCAGAATATCGATTGCTGAACTGCTAGACTCCCGTCTCTAGCTGAGAAGACTGTTTGGCTTCACAGGCGCTTAGACAAGTTAAGGTGCCACATAAACCCTGAGCATACAAAGGAGGTAAACCCGGGGTCGTTTCCGCAGTGGATACTTCAAGCATGCCCAATGTGTGAGGAGACAAATGAAAAGCGAAGAGCCGACAACAAACGACCACGTTCGGTAGGCTTCTTCCGTACAGATGTACTTCTTTATGATGAGCGCAGTCCTCACGAATCCGAGATCGAAGTTGCGTTCGACAATGACCTAAAACGGCCTGTTGACACTATAATAATCGTTGGGACCAGGCTGGAGATTGACTCCTTGAGAAGCTTTGTGAAGGACATGTGCCGATCCGCGGAGCGTACTAAAAGGGACATTCTCACTATATGGGTAAGCAAGGAGCGTCAAAAATATGGCCAGAGTCCTTGGATTCGTACTCAACTATGAGTATATTGGAGATTGTGACGATTTTGCTTCCCTGCTTATGGAGGATACGAGGAAGTCATGAACGATCAGCCTCTAGCATCCAAGCCCCTTATCCATGCCGGAACGTTGTCTGCCAAGTACTGAACAGGCTAAAGCTTCTGTCATTGTGTCCAAGTGTGCCGAACAGCAGTGGGCTGGGAGAGGATGCAAAAGCGTAGCGTGGTTGTATGTGTATCAGCGCGTCGACGCAGGACGTCAGCCCGCAGAAAGGAGACCAGTCGTTCTAATGTAGCACACACACACTCTCTCTAGAACAATACAGTTACTTGTTCAACGTCTAGGTTGAGAGGGGACTAAAACTAAGGTTCTAGTGGTGCATCATCCCTACGAGTTATCATCCAGTCTTCGGTCTCATCGAGCGCCTGGACATACTGGCACAGATAAGCCACCTGTTTTGACGCCAAATGATGAGCCATCACAAGGATATCAGGGCTCCTGTGTCCATTCAGCTCGCACAAAGGACGACGTTGTTCCACCAACAGGTCACGCTCCGAAGGCCCACTGGCACCAGCTGTCTATACCATGCTCGTTATGCGTCATGCGCCGCTCACATCAAAATTCAGGCAGCAGAGAGGCGCTTGATGGAACGATATCCCGCCATTTTTCCTTCCGGTGAGCATGATTTGACTCACTGCACAGCACGTCGTTTCTCACAGCCTCCCTCGGTTACGGCCAAACTACCCTCCATGGCGCTTCGCTCTCCAATTGGATATCTCCAGCTCGTCCGTAGGTGCGTCATCAAGGGCTTGTGACTCCTTGAGCCTGGCTTTGAAACGACGACGGATCGCCTAGGTCCGGCTCGTTTAGGGTGTGCTTCGTCAGGCAATTCGTCAGTCCATGAGGCGCTCCCTGGTGGTGGCGGATTCTGTACTCTCTCATGGTGAGGCTTTGATTACGCAGCTCTTTTGATCTCCATCCAGTCATCTCCATGCCTGCCAAGCTACCTGACCTTACCCTGACATAAGGTTGTTTTGGCTAGAGACAGAATCCTTGGGTCAGGATTAAGCAAAGATACTGAGTAATTAAGGAATTTGCTACTTCTACTAAGGATTATCCAGAAGTCTGATCCTGTGTATATATCTATGTTTGATTGTAGTTTGATGAAGCTTGTAGTTAGTTAATATACACTCTTTCTATACGTTGAGATATCGTCAAGGTTAGTCCTGATGAACATTTAGTCTATAAGGGGCTCATGCATGAAAATTGTAAAGGTAGTAATAGACACTATTACTAGCTAGATATGCATAGTTTGATTTGCTTTCTTTAGACAGCATTAGGGATTGCGAAGGAAAGGAAAGTATTGCTGATACTAGGTCTAAAATCTAAGCTACTGAACACCCTGTAGCCCGGAATGGGACCGGTCAGACTTGCAACTCCGCGAGCCGTTTGGGCCCAATTTCAGACCCATTTCATGCTACTCAGGGATGAAATCAGGCACAATCAAAAGGAGCTCAGGGTTAAATCAGGCAGACTCACGCTGGCTCACGTGGGCTCAGGGCGAGCTCAGGAGTGCTCAGCCACAGCTCAAGCTGCTTACTCATAGCTCACGTTATACCCCTGCGTAACTCATGTTTAAAAACGGAAGCAGATTTGATAGACTGTAGTTTTCACCGGAGAGTATGCCGCTATCAACAGCCATGTAGGTGCAGCCGCGATAGTATTAGACCAGACACAAGAGGACTGCAGCACAAGGAGAATAGAATACATAGGCAAATTAACCACAACAAATATATTTACAGCAGAGCTTAGAGGGATAGGAATAGCATTCCAGATAGCCCTAGATATACACGCGTCAACAAACACCCCCAGCAGCTGCATCGTCTTCACAGACAACCAGGCCGCCATCCAAGCAATAGCAGACCCTAAGACCTAGTCAGGACAAGGCATCCTAATTGCAACCATACAAGCGCTCAACAAGCTCTAATATTAAGGATAGAAGGTCCAGATCTGATAGATCCCAGCACACAAGCACATAATTAGCAACAACTTTGCTGACCAAGCAGCCAAGAAGGCCACCAGCCAAAACCCAAGCCAGGAACCACCTATTAAGCCAGACTTACTCCAGATCCTGACAGCAACCATAAGACCAACCATCCAGCAAAAGATAAGAAAGGAATAGGAGACAACGTGGCAGGATGCCAAGCACAGCAGACTGCTGCACAGGCTAGGCGTAAAACCAGGCAAAGGAATCCTTAAATTGCACATTAGAACACCTAGAGCGGTCAGCTTAGTTATTACACAAATGCGCACAGGCAAGATTAGCCTGCGCGCCTACCTCCACACCATCAACAAAGCAGACACTAACAAATGCCAATGCAGACTTAGAAAACAGACAGTGCAGCACGTAATCCTAAAATGCCAGAACTAGATAGAGGAGCAACAAGAGATGTAGGCAGGCAAGAAACTATGCAAAGACGTCAAAAAAGTTCTATGTAACCCGTTAATAGCAGTACAAGCAGCTAAGATAATGTTAAGGACAGGACTGCTCAGGCAATTCCAGGCAGTCGCGTCTACAGTACCATAATATGCAATAACATAGACAAGTGTATATTATTAAATAGAGGGCAAGGAGGGCCAGGAAAGGCCTAACAAGTTTAGAGACGTAGAACAGTTATTAAAACTATAAGCAGAGGCTTTAGCTTGTTATTTAAAGGATAGACGTTACCTTAGGAAGAGGGAACAGTTTGGTCCTGAAAGTGGGAGGGACACCTCTATTTATAGTTGTACGCTGCATAGCCGCCGCTAGGGCGGCTGGGACAGCTATGAACCAATCAATCAATCAATCAATCAATCAATCAATCAATCATAGTAGAGAAAAGCTCCGAGGAGAAGAAGAACGCTCCCAGGAGAAACGTCGACCATTCTTGGTCTCCAGCGAGCCTACCTGTGGCCCGATTCAGACCTTCATGCTGCTCAGGAATGGAATCGGGCACAGTCATGCTAGCTCATGCTGACTCAGGGCGAGCTTAGGACAGCTCAAGCTGCTTAATCATGGTCCTCATCTCCCGACAAGCTAATTGGAGCCCAATTTCAGACTCTCCATGCTGCTCAGGGATGAAATCAGGCACGATCACACCGGCTCACGTAGGCTCAGGACGAGCTTATGAATGCTCAGCCACAGCTTGAGTTGCTTACTCACAGCTTACATTACACCCTTGCGTAATTCACGTCTTAAAACAGAAATGAACATTGTGTGAGGGCAATTTGTCCCCATATATCTTTCGCTATGCCTTGCCAACATGTCCGAGTCTTGCCTCCGATTTGTGGGCACCCACTTTTAGCACTAACCAGCCGTCATGTCTCACACTGTGGCTGTGTGCCTTGCCAAGCACAGCGAGAGTCTCCGAGCTTTCGACTTTGGTTTCCGGTAGCCTTGTCCATGGATTTTTCTATAACACATTTTCGTGTTGCCGAATGCTTCTTCTAACTCCTTCAATCTCGCTACGACAATGCTCTCCCCCAAGAGACACTTGATCGAGGACTCTACCTGGAATGCAAGACCCACCAAACGCCAAGTTCCGCCTATCGCAGACGACGGAGACTCAACCCAGTCCCCCCAATACCTATCTCAGGCGAACTTTAGCAGCGACCCATCACCCAGGCCTTCAGTTCAGGATGTGCCCTGGTCATTATCAGATTCTGACGGTTTGGAATCCTGCACACCATTTCCGAGCACCCCAGGGTTAGTTGGTGAAGTATGCTTTGGCATGGTAACACAACAGCTAGTGTCGTATTATAAGGCTGTCGCTAAGGATATATAGATTTGTTGTGTGAAAACTCAGTTCCTGGACGATCCAAGCATTGCGACTATTCATCCAGGGCTTCCAACGAGGCGTAGTACTGTACGATTGGGCGATTTTGAGGCCTGTACGGGTGAGATTTTGTGTACGTTCGTACGACAGGGAGGAGGAGAGGTAGGTGTACGTATTGTAACTGTTACGGCTCACGTGATCTGTACGAGTAGTACGATTTGATTAAAGTACGCCGTACTCTAGTTGAAACAGCTAAGACTATGGGTCTCTAGACACGCAAGATTAAGGTCTAATTAACTATAAAATAACTAGTTCTCCCTAGTAACAAGAGCAGATAGGACTAGATGAGGCCTGTAAGGCGGCAAGAGGCGTGGATAGATAACTCTGGAATAGAAAATGGTCTGTAATAGGCATTTTTGAGACATCCGTACTACGTACCGTACCTAGGGCATCATTAATCGTACGGTACGGCTCACGAACTCGGTACGTTCGTACTGAACACGTGACCGTTACGGTTCACTTTGTACGGACCGTAGTACGGCCCGTTGGAAGCCCTGTATTCATCCCGATGCTGATAGCTCGATACGTAAATATTATCAACTCCACATCGTGATGGAGCGGATTCACATGCTTCAAACCAGCGATGGCAAAGAGATTGCTATCCTTAACACTCAAGCATCAAAAGCTCTCCAGGAATTGGACCATCGGGGTCTGGTAAGGTACAACGTATATGTGGCCGCAGATGAATGGGCAGCTAAGATTTGCTCGTTCATGACCTTGGGAAAATCCTCTTGTCTGGATATTGATATATATTTCTTCGGACCCTTCTCCAATAGCACGTGTGTTGGCAGGATACTCTCTGACACAGGCCACTTTCTCCAACCGCCGGATATTCTGGACAGCTCCATCCTGTATGATAATCCTCATGAAATCAGCTTTCCATCTATCGGCAGTTCTGGATCGCCTACGAGACTACCAAACTCCGAGTCTAGCTCCGTGAACAATCTGTCGGTTGACACGATAAATACCGTATTAGGCAATCTAGATCATACGGGCTGTCTAACTGTTTGGGATGTAGATATGAATGTCATCACGACTGAATTAAAACTGTAAGTAAAAGAAAATGTGATGTTTATCAATGGTCTCTACTGACATGTATCCACTAAGGCACCAAAGAGAAGCGCTTGACTTCATCTCACAACGAGAAGCACCACATACGTCTGAGCCTTTCTCGTTGTTCAGACGATGTATCGACCCTCGGAATCGCACATAGTGCGTAAACCTCCTAATTGTAGTATATGGCTTCCCTTGTTAATAGTATTCACAGTTACGAACATTCTGTTGCTGGTTGCCGAAGACCAGAAAAACAACCCGAAGACTTTGGAGGGTTGATCGCCGACGAGATGGGCCTAGGTAAAACTCTAACAATGATCACTGCTATTGCGACAACAACAGAACAAGCACGTCAGTTTCAATATGGTAATTCTAGGGGCGTAGAAATGCTAGGCACGATGAAGAGGACACGGGCTACCCTTGTCATATGTCCCGCTGTCCGTAAGTGATTTGACCTGATCCTCGATTCCTTCTGATTTGTGTATTACTAGTGCTCATGGATGGCTGGCTGGAGGAAGTTTCCAAGTAAGTAGTACATTTATTTTCGGCCAGTATATATTGACTAGACTAGACATGTTGCTCCTGGGTTTCTTAAGTGCTCCAAATATCACGGCGCTTCTAAAGCCTCTGAGACGGAAATACTTGACTCAGATATAGTTTTGACGACATACGCTACTCTTATAACAGATTCAAGTCGAAATAGCATCCTTCATAGAATTCATTGGTTTCGAATTATTATCGACGAAGGTTTGGACGTGATTCCTCTTCTCCCGGATTTCAGCTTACATATGTGTAGCTCACTCCATTCGGCATCAGCAGACTAAACAGTTCCGCGCCGTAGTGGCCCTTTCAGCCAAGTACCGGTGGTGTCTTACGGGAACACCTATCCAGAATGAACTCAATGATTTAGGTGCCTTGGTCCGTTTCCTCCGTGTGCCGCATTTGGAGGGGTTATCCGACTTTTATAGCCATATTGCCGGACCCGTCGAAAAGCGTAACGCGGAAGGGCTTCAGAGGCTGGGAAACCTTCTGCGGTGTATCTGCCTACGTCGCACAAAAGAATTACTAGGCCTTTCTGAGCCCAACTCGCGCGTGGAGCTGGTACAGCTAACTGAAGAGGAACAGGACCGGTATTGCTATATCGGAGAAGACCACCGACAAGCCATCGATCTAGCAATTGAGAGAGGAAATCTCTCAGATGCCTCTAGCGGTCTATTCCGTGCTATTTTACGACTTCGCCTCTTTTGCAACTCTGGTCTCTGTGTTGACTCAGACCTGATTGGTTCCAACAAAGATGAAAGTCTCTCACTGCTCGAACAGGGCGACCGAGCAGTGTGCTCGTACTGCTCATGTGATGTAAACTCGGTTGGTGATCGGGGACCAGCTGGCTTTGGCGCGATTTTAAGCTGCTCGCACCTTCTTTGCCCAGAGTGCGTAGGCCGCAGCGAGAAAATATCCCTAAGTCGAATTCGCTGTGTGGTATGCAGCACAATCTCCTCGTGTCCCGAGCTTAGACAAGAGCAACCGTCAGTATGGGGCGAGTCCCCATTAAGGTTGAGAGGCTACTGCTCTAAGTTAGAAGCTCTTGTGCATAATGTCGTACAACACCGAGCAGACAAATGGTTCGTACATATCACTTCCTCCCCGCACTTTTTAATAGATACCTAATATATCCTTATCAGCATTATTTTCTCTTCATGGAAGAAGTCTATTAAACTTGCTGCGTCATATCTTGCAGCCCACAACGTTCCCGTCTGTGTCGTCGATGGCTCAATGACGCTTCCTGAACGTCGCTCCAAGATCCTGCAATTCCAGCAAGATTCCAGAGTTCCCGCGCTCCTCATGACACTTGGAACCGGAGCAGTTGGCTTGAACCTTACAGTGGCCAATCGCGTCCATATCCTTGAGCCGCAATGGAACCCTTTCATTGAGAAACAGGCAATTGGGCGAGTCATGAGGCTGGGCCAAAAAAAGGAAGTCACAATCGTGCGATATGTAGTCGAGAATACCGTAGAGCAGGTATGTGTGTGAGATACCTTATGAAATAGCCAGATTTGCTTACTTTGCTCCGTATAGCATATCCAAACAAGGCAAGAAAAGAAGCTGTATCTTGCTCAACTTGGATGGGACTCGAGCAAGACGGAATCAGAAGATGATAAGTTTCGAAAAGTAATTGTAAGTTTAATAGTACTTCAAATCTCCATAAGCTAATAATTTTTCATCTTTAAGGACATGAAATTGTTACTATCGATACAGAAATAACTTTACTTCTCTCGCTCCAAGGATCTATTGCCAAGCGTATCACCTAAACAGAATCCAACCTCCAATGATAGCCTTCGAAGAAAACCTGGCTAGTTTCTGCATGTAACTAGATAATGCATTGCTAAGGCTAGGCCACAAGCAATATGTACTATTAATTCACCAATACGCCTGGACGAAATCGAGATCGAGTAGTATTGCATCTACAGGACTAAGAGACCCGCAATCGTTGCTACAGCCTCCTACGCTACCCCTATTCACTTTTTCTGATGGTAATATACTATGGGAAGGGAAAGGAAAGAGTGAGCAGCTCAGACTTGGTCGCCTCCTAGAAGAGGCAGATCCCGAAAGGCGAATGCCGTTAACGCTGTGCTAGCGCATCCCTCAAGGATGACTCGGCACGGCCGTTTGGGAACGGTGCGATTAGAGCCGGGTACGATCAATAGGAAATAGAGAAATAGTACGAGTTAGAGAATAGTACATAATTTCTTAACAGCGAATTGATACGAGCAAGGACATAGTATGGGATGCAGCGAGCCTCGCAACAGTACGAACCTGGGACTGAATGTAAAAGCTGAGTTGTGATCTGGTGCAAGGTGTGGACTGGTACTAAATAAACTGTTTGTGGAACGGTACAAACAGGGGACTAGTATGCGAACCCTGGGCATGGGGTTGTTACGAACTGGAAGCATTTCGTAATAGTGTGTGCCATGTGAATCCTAAACATGCCCCTTAGATCCTTCTGTTGCTCCAAAAATATGGGGTCGCAGTGCCAGTCGAATTTGTTACAAACCCCCGAAAAGGCTTCAAGACGCTCGACTAGGTTTTGTGCATTCACAATTATGAGCTGGAAACCGGGAAACCAAATTAGGCAGGCCTAGGTACGTTTAGAGAGTTAACCAAGAATAGTGTGAAAGGTAATAGCAGGAGCAAGCCCTTTCCTAAGATATTCCGCTGCAAAGAACACTTCTACAAGGTGTAGGATTGGTATGTGTTGGAAAATAGAAGGATTGACAGCAGAGCGAAGCAAAAGGACACTCTCTAAACTTCTGCAGTAGCTGTTTCTCCTATGCCCCTCCATATTAAGGCCTCAACTCTCCTCATAACTCGACTACCCCAAATCCGTAATGACGAGTGACAGTAAGAAATACTGCCCAATCCCTCATTACCCGCCGACTTCCAGCTCTAGTCCTTTGTCCGGCAACATCAGTAAGTGAGAGGAGGATCAACTTCAGGTAATCCGCCACCTGACGCGGAACACGACAGTTGGGGGCATGGGCCCAAGACGGGAGTTTGCAACCGTTTACACTTGTCCTTAATTCCAGCAAGAGGTTTTATTGTCAGACTCTTCCCTAGTTATGTTCCATGTTATCTGATAGCATGCTGTAAACGCCCGGATGTCTGACGCACGCAGTGCTTCCAACGAGGGTAGTACTGTACGATTGGGCGATTCTGATGCCTGTACGGGTGACTTTGTGTACGTTCGTACGTCACGGAAGATTAGAGGTAGGTGTATGTATAGGAACGGTTACGGCTCACGTGCAGGGCTTCCAACGAGGCGTAGTACTGTACGATTGGGCGATTTTGAGGCCTGTACGGGTGAGATTTTGGGTACGTTCGTACAGCAGGGAGGAGGAGAGGTAGGTGTACGTATTGTAACTGTTACAGCTCACGTGATCTGTACAAGTAGTACAATTTAATTAAAGTACGCCGTACTCTAGTTAAAACAGCTAAGATTATAGGTCTTTAAAGACGCAAGATTAAGGTCTAATTAACTATAAGATAACTAATTCTTTCTAGTAATAAGAGCAGAGAGGTCTAAAAGCTTGCTACTTACTACCTTATGCTGTAGCTAGTTCTTCTAGAGTTAAATAGCCTTAATTATTGCACTTTTTAGTAAGCCTTAATTATTAGTTACTATATAACTAGCTGCGCTAAAACACCTCTTACACTTATAACTAGTAGCTAGGATAGTAAGGAAATTAAGGGCAATCTTAAAGAGAATAGAATAGGCTGTTTTACCTCTAGTAAGCTACTATTATAGAGGTTCTCTGCGTAGTAAGGGGTAATCTTTATAGTAATTAGCTCTTATAAAGTTATAGTAAAGCTGCAGCTTATTTAACGCCTTCTTACACTTATGTAAGCGCTAATTTGTTATAAAAGAGAGGTTAACAAAGAGGTAAGCCTTATAATTATTATTATAATAGTTGCCACCTAGCAGCTTACAACGCCTAGAAGATAATAGCTTATTCTTAACTTTATGCTTATTCTTAGCATTTAAATACTAGTTAAAGATTATCTTTATTAACCTAGTTACCTTATCTACCTAGCTCTTATAATGCTGCTAGTAATCTTAAAACTAAAGTAAGTGTAATTAAGAGTTAAGAATAGTAGCAACTATGTAGTACAAGACTAGTAAATTAAGGATTAGTTTACCCTAGTAAGTAGTAAGCTTTTAATAGCTAAACTTAATAGCATTTTTAAAGTATAAGTTGCTTAGCTTATTAGCAGTAATTACTTTTATTTAATTAAGGTAAATTTAGAGGCACTAAAGCTTTGTTATAGTCCTCTATAGTAAGCTAGATAAGCCTTAGCCCTTAAGTCTTTTTATTATCTAATAAAACTTTTCTAAAAAGTTCTTAAAGCGCTTAATCTTATTCTAATTATCTTTAGTAATAAGATCTACTAGGGCATTAAAGCTAGCTTATTAAGTCTTTTTATTAGCATTAAAAAAGCCTCTTTATTGCTGTTAGAAGTAACTAATAGCCTCTCTAAGCTTATAACAGTGTAATAGCATAAAGTAAACTAAGTGCTAGTGTACTCTGCTATTACGCACTAGATTAAGTGTGCTAAACTGCTAAATTAAGTCCTCCTCTGCAATATTAATTTAGAGAGTCTTAAAAAGCCTTATGCGCTTATGTAATGCTAGCACGCTGTTTATAAAGTTATAGAGTTGTCTAACAACTCTACGCTTTCTATATAGCTTAAATTAATTACGTAGAGCAGCTTTAGCAAGCTTCTACTTAAATTTTATAACACCTTTACTATATATAATAGCTTTAACAACTACCTAGATTATATAGGCAGCACAGCAGATTTAGTGCTGTCTATTAAGCTTATATAGCAGGTTAAGCTTCTTATTAAGGCTTTAGATAAGCTTATTGTTATTATTTAACACATTATCTTTAATAAAGCAGCTAAATTTTAACATAATATTATACTTATTAATAACAGTAGCTATCTTAAAGGCTTACGCACTACTAGTATAGTTACTATATAAGTTTTTAAAGCTAATTAAAAGGTCTTACTAAGCGTGTAAGGCATCTAGCTGTTGTTAGTTACAGAGTTCTTACAATAGTAGCCTGTGCGCGCATACTAATAAAGTAAGCTACTACTGCAAAGAAGAAAAGGTAGTTTCTAGAACACTACATATCTACGCTTAGCATAATTTTTAACAGCATAGTAATTAGTATTATTTAAATCTCCTTCTTTTACTGCACAAGTGCAGCGTGGATATCCTTAGAGAGCGTAGTGGCAGAATGTAGTAAAGCAGCAAGAAGATTTATGTAATTCTAGCTAATAAAACTACAGGTTTTTAATAAAATAGCTTTTTTAAATAACTAATCCTACACTATAACCTAGTTAACTAGGGCACTGCGCAGAGGACCCTCCTGCTATAGTGTATAAGATAACCCCTGCGATAAGCCTGCTGCTCCTCTAGCTGCCTCCTATAGGTGCTGCAGTAGCTGTACGCTATTAGGTAAGAGCTCTCTATTAACGTTAACTTTATACTCCCTTAGTAGGTGCTAAATAATATAGTTATAGCTATCTACCACCTTTGCAGCACTTTAAAAGCTCTGCTTATAACACTAACAGCAGAGCTAGAGGCAGATTACCTTACTCTGCTCCTTTAAAAGTGTTATATCTGCGCTATAAGCCTACACCTTTAACAGCGTATAATTACTTTGCAAAGTAGTCTTATTCTTTACTTAGTAACCTAATTACGCTAAAGGCAACACCTATTTTAAGTCTAATAGCTATATATTATTCTAATTAATTATAAACTTAACACTAGTGTTATAATTGTAGTCCTCTAGGAACTACTGCAATTAATCTTTAGCCACAGACAGTGTACTATTGCGGGATAAAGTAGGAGACGTAGTGTAGAGGGCTTTTAACTTCTGCAGCCTATAAGACTGCGTAAAATAGATAACAGAGAGATCTAATTAACTAAATAAGGCCTATAAGGCAGCAAAACGCGTGAATAGATAACTCTACAATAGAAAATAGTCTGTAATAGGCATTTTTAAGACAATAGACTGCAGATAGATAGATTAAACCTCTTAGAAAAAGATTTAAGCGCCCTTATAAAACTTTTAGCTAATTAGAGCTCTAGAAGCTCTCCCTGCAAACCTCCTGCTTACTAGAGTCCTCTTACTCCTCTAGAATTGCTATAAAAACTTCCTAAAAGGGTAATACAATCTGTACTACGTACTGTACCTAGGGCATTATTAACTGTACAGTGCGGCTCACGAACTCAGTACGTTCGTACTGAACACGTGACCGTTACGGTTCACTTTGTACAGACCGTAGTACGGCCCGTTGGAAGCCCTGCTCACGTGATCTGTACAAGTAGCCCAAACCAATTAACCCACGCTGTACCTAGTTAAAACGGCGAAGACTATAGATCTCTAGAGAAGCTTGGTTAAGGAGAATATAGCTACTAGATAACAATGTCTCTCTAGTAACATAAACGGAGAGGTTTAAAAGCTCACTATTTGTTACTTTTACAGTGCTTTAAAGCTTTTGTAAGGACAGCGCTCTGCATAACTCTGTTATTACAAATAATAACGTTATAAATGATTAACTAGGAGTTAATTTACGGGCAGAATAGTATATTTGCCTTGCAGCTATCCACGCACTTTAACTACGCCTTACAAGCCTTATCTAGTTAATTAGACACCTCTGTTGTCTATTTTGCACAGTACCTTACCTAAGCTACAGAAGTTGAGGGCCCTCTGCACTACGTCTCTTGCCTTATCCTGCAATAGTACGTTGTCTATAGCGAAAGGCTAATTGCAGCAGGACAAGGTAATCCACCTCTATCTCTACTTAGCAGAACCCCCTCCTACTTTCTTAGAATCGCTATACAAACTTCCTAAAAAAGGAATGCAATCTGTACTACGTACTGTACCCAGGGTATTATTGAACGTGCGGCGCGGTTCACAAACTGGGTACGTTAGTACTGAACACGTGACCGGCACGGTTCACTTTGAGCGGACAGTAGTACGCCCCATTGGAAGCGCTGGACCTAGGTCCTTGTTGTGATTTAGTCACATATCTTACTTCTCTGTTTATTACAGCACTAAATAGTAATCTATGGTTGAATTCATGATCACGAGTAGCACCCATACCTAAGCGTCACAACCTAGATCTACATTCTATAGCATGCTACTTGACTTTGTACCTTACTAGGGAAGAGTCTATGCCTTAAGCTTCTTGTCACACTTAGAGCTAATTTCTATCCTAAATTATTCGCCATATTTATTATCGGCAGGACATATGGGCCAGGGGTTTTATGAAGAAAGGAATCGGGTTGCGAAGATCACTATCTGGGTACCTGTCAGGGGACTTGGTGGGGAAAGAATATTATGAGGTGGAAGATGACCTAGGTTTCACTTCCTTCAAATACCTAACCAGCTTCAAGTTATCTTCTAGATTTCGTGTATCTCAGGATTCTGCGCTATTAGGGTTTCAATTTTCTCATTGGCCTCTTGCATGTAGGCTGGTAGTTCCCCGATCTAAGGATTTGACATATTGTAGGTAATGTATAAAAATGTTGTAGATGTTGAATATTCTAAATCTAGAAGCTAATAAACTAGGGAGTATTTGGCAGGCATTGAAGGTGCTAGCTTTCACATACTCGCTATCAACAGAGGAATGAAGCAACAGGGCCTCATCTCTCCGTATGCTCATGTAAGTGATGGTTGGTCTAGATGCCTTCAAGACCACTTCATGTATCCATAGAAAGGTCTTGCTTTTTTTATTTCTCACCGCCCAGTCAATAAGATGGGACTGATGGACCGTGCAGGTGCCTAAAGATGGTCGAGGGCGCTCGCAGCTAATTAGTGCCCGCCTAAAAGGTGCTATCGCATATGACATTCTCGTTAACGTTGATTGGAGGCCCGCTTTATCCCCTTGGCAAATGCAATGCTCCCCACGCGATCATTTTTGCTTCATTCAGCTCCAAACAAGCTTTGCCAAGACTTACTACTAGAAGCTTGTTTCTGCCTCTGCGGCTGATCGTCGAGGTGATCTTGTGCGCAAATCAGACTGAACGAGGTCCATCCGTCCGGGAACCGTACCTGCTGCGCTCTCGAATTGAGCCTCGCAGGAGTTAGGCGTTTAAAAGGATCGCGTGAGGCAATGCTCGTGTGAAACATTCAAAATCCTTGGAGAGCAATGTCTCTAAGTTAAATCGCCCGCTTCTCGGCTGTGCCCAGTGACAAGCCAACAACTCAAGTACGATGACATTCCTGCCTGTATCCCAAAGCAATCTCGTTTGCGATATTTTGGTGTTCTCCGCTCGCCATGGTGTCATCTAGCCAAACGATTCCTTCTCTTCTTTCTTACTTGAAATGCACCTGCTTCCCTGATTTCCTGCGGTTTTTGTTCCACCTCGACCTCCACTTCTACTTCGAGGAATTCATCGCCGTCAGATTAACTGTAGCTCCTATGGCTGCGCGGCCGACCACTATCTTGGTATACAAACCCCATTGACGCGACATATTCCTTACACAACCCTATACGCTCTTTCAGACCGTCACGATGAACAACACCACTCAAGTGGGCGGTCACAAACACCACCATATTCAGCTCCATGACCTGCGCAATGAGCTCGTCTCTAAACTTGCTCCATTCTCAGGCCTCATATTGACCATTGTAAGTCCAAGATTAAATCGCCCCTCAACCTTCGTTTGTCGTATCTAACACAAACTCCTAGATTCTTGTAATTTTTTTCCTCATCCGCTACTACCTCTTTGAAACCCTGCTCCTTCCTTACTTCTACCCCCGCACCTTCGCTTTATTGAATGAACGCAATCGCCGAGGGTTCGTAAACCACCATCTCGCAGGCGCCGCCAAGATCCTCCTCTTCATATGGACTGCGTATCCATTCTGTGCTGTGGCATTCGGCTCTGCCACTTTTAACACGCCATTACATAAGGGTAGCTTTGTCACCATGGGCGATGCTATGCTTGTCGCCTCGCATATCTTCGTGGCTATGTATCTTGTGGAATTACTTTATCGGTCGCAGCTTTCTATTGTAGCGGTGTTTCATCATGTTGGCGCTTGTGTCATTGCCGAGTCGGCGGTTGCTATTAGTTTAAATTCGGTGAGGGAGAAGGATGCTACGATTGAATTCGTGCTGTGTTTCTTTTGGGGTAAGCCTCTCTTTCACTCTCACACTAAATTCCCCAAATATCCACTCTCCTCTCTACTCACTTAATTAAACACTAGCTAACCACCCATGCAGGTGCCTTCGACGTAATCGCTGAATTCTGGCCACATGTCACAATAATTCTCTACCGAATCTACCCCACCTCCCACTTCTTCCTCAGCAAGATCTTCCGCGCTGCATTTTTCTCCACATTATGCGGCACTATAATAGAAACGATTGTGGTCATGTGGCTATTTGGCAGCCTGTGGGAAAGATGGACGATACCGTTCAAGGTTGTCACTCCCATGTTGCACGTTGTATTCTCGGCAGCGCAAGTGTGGGGTAGTTGGAATTTTTGGAAGATGTGGCAAAGGGAGAAGAAGACACTCCTGGGGGAGGGTAGAGGAGGAGATAGGGCGGATAGGGATGTGGAGAGGGGAGAGGCAGGAAAACGGGAAGAAAGTAGGAAAGGGGGAGAGGATGCTCGGGTTACGGCAGGTGAGAAGACGGAGGTTATCGAGAAAGAGGAAGGACGTGCAGCGGTCACTACTTCCTCTTCTTTATGATATGAGCAAGTCTTAATCTCAACTTTATGATACAAAGGGAAGTCTAGAAACGAGTGGCGGGACTCTTATAGAGCATGTGTGATACCAAGGTTCCTCGTTATGCTGTCCACTGGACGGGGTTAGACCGACTTCGACGCGCATTAAACTAAAGTCTACTAGTAATCAGTCCTCATAAAACCAAAAGAGGCTATCATAAGGAGAGTCTCTTTGACCTAAAATCGCTCTACTCACTCCTTTTAGTTGCATTAAAGAGAGATCAACTACTGCTTACGGCAGCACAATCAGGACCCGAGCTACCAGCAGGAGACAACTTCAAGCTCCTTATTTGTTGCTCTAGTAACATCGCCACCGCCCCCACCGCCGCCGCCTCTCTAGGGCTGTCAGACAGATCCTATCGCACGTGACATTAAGCCGATGCTCTGCAGAAATCACTCATTCGGACTAGCGTCTATTGCGTCCACCAGATAGTTCTCAGAGCTTTCTTGCTCCTTGACCTTACACCATCGCTCAATCCACTCAATTCGGTTCTCGCCGCTTTACTAACTTACTCGCTTATCCTCAGTCCCCTGCCTGCCTTTGCGAGAGATTCCCCACACCTGGTTGCAACAATATCAATCTGATTCTCGCCTTAGACATGTCCAAAGCCAGGTTATTGTCCAGACAAATGTCTAGACTTAGTGCAACTGTACCACTATTACCCTCTTCGGTGGGCGCGCCAGTTGTCGAACCAAGTCTTATAGACTTCTGTCGGAGTGGATAGCATGTTCCTCGAGGAAAATCAGCCAGCACTAGAATTTGATTTACTAGCAATTGCAACTCACAAGCTGTTAATGAGAAATTAGAAGTAGATTACTGAGACAGCGAGGGTGTTTAGCGAGGATTCACAGAGAAAGGGCCATCCGCAACTCCCTTTCCCTAAAAGGGAACGCTACAGTGAATGTCCTTATCACGTGGCAAACACTCACTGCAAGGACCTCAAATACGAACAAAGTTAGTGGCCTTTAAGTAGAAAGTTTACAATATCTTAAGGTTTTCAGATCAGAATGCACGTTTGAAGTTAGCCGTGTTGATTTTACGAGGTCTGCATTGATTAGGTGACATGCATTATTTTTATTACACTAGTTTTTGAGTTGGAGAATTCAAGATAGAGGAATCTGACTATCTATCTCCTCTACACAGACCTTGACCACCGACTTATCTGCATGTATAACCCATAATATTCCATTACCCTTTTAAGATTACGATGGTGTTCCGTCGGATGACATCCCGATGAAATATACTGAAAATCCTGACCCCAATCAACCAAAGAAAGACTAGAGCAATTTAGGCACCACATCTGCAAAAGCGCAATATCAGAGGAGCCTGCCTGTAGCATCTTACCACTAATGCATCCCATACCTTAATACTTCCAGTACCAATAGTCAAAGATCCGTCCAAAAGCCGCCATTCCAATGCTTCCACGCCACTTTAGTTACATCATTGTAGCCGACCTTCCATACGGTTGGCCTGAGGCCCCCGTACAACCTTGAAGGGAAATAGCTTACACAAGGATAATATATATAAGATAGGAGAAGCAGCCTTCTTTCGGTGTTAGAAAGAGGCAGCGTGATGTACTATAGCAGAAGGGCAGCTAGAGAAGGCCTGTAAGGAAGTAACGCGCTAAGATAAACGCTCTTTTAACTATAAAGGTACTAGACTATTGTAATAGGCAATATAAAGAAGGTATATAACACTATTGTAAGGGTTTAAAGCAAATTGCTAACAAATTATATAGGTGCAGCATTTCCTGTCTAAATCTTTAAATGTAAGAACCCTATGCCTATCAACTTGCAGTAGTAACAGCTAGCAGCTTAGAAATCTACCTAAAATCCTACATCACTACAGTAAACAGTTAGTACAGCAGCCTTAGAGTCTGTAAGGATACGTCGTAGAAGCTCTGTACATACGCACGGCCCAAAATTCTCTGTACTGTAGTACCGTACGATTAGGTGTACTAACGCTTGGAAACAGACACTGGCCTGAGCTCTTTAAAGCTCTTAACCCCACAATTTGAGGTGCAAGATTCAGTAGAAGTGCTCGATCGGTAGGTAGCTCTGGATCACCAGTGCGCTGAATACTCAAGACCAAAGATGTTTTCCGGTGCGCATCCCACAGGCACTGTGGTTGTGGTGGATGGTGCTGGGGAGACGCTGAAAGCGATTCCAAGTGGATAATGACATAATGGGGTTTCGGTAGGATAGCCACCATCCGGCCCTGGGTGCCAGTTGGGATAGGGGCAGGAACAGTTAGCTTGAGATGGATGATCCATAATTCGCCGCATCCACCAAGCAAACGCAGCTGAGCTGAATTTAAGGAAGAAAAAGCAGAGGAGACAGTCAAAGCACCATAAGGATAACTGCTTGGAAGGAAGGGCCGGAGTCTACAGCCGAGGGATATGTGAAGCGGGGGAGGAGTAATGCTCGGAACGAGCTCAAAGATGACTGAACTCTCGTCTGTAAGTTTCCTTAGGACGTGAAAGAAGCTAAACCTGTCTGTATTGATTGAGAGCGCATTAATCGTTGTTGTCAAAGTTCGTGTGGAAGACAAGAGTGCATGGTAGAATACATTGAATGCCGGTATTCAGTCGACCCCGGATTTGGAGCGGCAGAAGACACTTCTAGTAGCCTATCGTCGTTGCTTTCGGTGGTAGAAGCTCTGGTGGAGGCACTGGAAACGCCAAACTCACTGTCCTAGTGCTGGTTGGTGTACCTGGTACTGCAGTGATTAACGTTGGGATTCCATCCAACGAGCTAGAAGTAGGGTAGGTAGCCTGGGAGGGATTATGAACGTGAAACTGGTTGCGCTGGTACTATGTGCTCAGTACTGCAGTGATCGATGATAATATTTCAGTCAATGAGCTGGCTGATGAAGATAGCGTAAAGGATGAGGTAGCTGCTAGACGAGAGGGTTGGGTTGACGAGTCTCTTGACAAGGCAGTGGTAGGCGTAGGAGACCCTGTTGGCGAACTTTCAGAGGCAGTGCTCGGAATTGCCATCGATAAGCCAACTGATGAACCCAGGCTGGAGATTGAGAATTCTGCTGACAAACTTGTTGAAATTCCCATTGGCGAGGTAGTTGATGAGCAGAAGGGGAAGGTTGAGGTTCTGTTTAATGAGCTCCCTGACAAGGTAGTGCTAGGTGTTGGAATTACTGTCCGCGAGGATCCGAAATAGCTGCTGGGAATTGTTGTTGAGCAGCTAAATATCATAGTTTCAGTATAGGAGATCGTCGGCGACGACGGAAAAGGGCCGGAGTTGTCATAAATGTTGACCAAGATTGGGGACATACCTTCCAGAACCAGAGTTAAATCGATTAACCAAATTACATTTCCGTCGAAACAGCAATCGTTAGCGTATTCAAGTTTCTTCGCCATCAACTCTTCATTGTCGAAGCTCAGCCACTGACCGTTCCAGTTTATCTGAAAACTTTCATACCGGCATCTTGGGCAAACTCAAGCGTGAGTCCCTTATTGCTGTTGAGCTTCTTGATCTCGTAATAGGCCATCTCACCAGGGACACTGGTGCAAAGTCTAGCCTTGGAGGCACTCTCGAAATCACACCCCAAGTTAGGCCAGCTCTTGTCCTTGATCTAGTACGCACGCCAAAAGTATACTAAGCCAAAGTTCGGTTTCTTAGGATCGATAAGGGTGAATCACGGACGAACGAGAACCTCTTCAATATCATCAACGCTAGTGTATGGGAGGATTTGGGGCTGATAACTTCCAAGTTTGCGCCGTACTGGAATTTGATATTAGCATTTGCTCTTGTCAAAAACAAGTCTTGAAAAGATTGACCAAATCCCAGGCTGAACCGGTCCACATTCTGCTCTATTCTTTTTGGGCCGAAATATTGCAAAAATGGAAAGCGACGCTCAGCCTAACCAGTAATTCATAGGCCAGCCCAACAAAGTCTTGAGTTTCTTTGTTGCACGCCCTCGGTCGGAAGTGTCGCACGATGCTGCGTCCATGCGCCGCCCTAACTAATCACTAGGAGTAGCTTCTCTTCGCAAAATATTCTCCTCGGAGCTCTCCGGAGCCAGCGTGGCCAACAGTACGTACACCGTAGATCCGTAGGGCTTTTGGGACCTATACGGTGGAGTTAGCTTGTACGTACGTACTGTAGTAGCTTCATGGGAGGTGCTTACGGATCCAAATCAAGGCTTCCTTACGTACGTACAGAGACCACCGTATATGCTGTATACAGATGTTTTATATAGGTTCTTAGCGTGAAATGTATAAGCTAAGGTTAATAAGGTAACTTGCTACTGCTTAGTTCTAGAGCTAGTTCTTCTATAGTTAAAGTGCTTTAATAGTAGCTCTACTAAGTTAGTTCCTATTATTAGTAACAGTTCTCCTGCCTTTACTAAACGCTCTCTTGCAATTACATAAAGTTAATAGGATAGAGAGGTAGTCTAACGCTATGCAATAGAGCATTAGGTAGCGTTGCTAGCTAACCTTATCTTACTATTATATAAGATTATTAAGTTGTTTGTTATCTAATTTAATAAAGTAAGTAAAATTATTATTATAAAAAGTGTAGTACTTTTTTAACTTATTAAAAGCTTTAAAGCATTTAGCTTTACCCTTTATGCTTATTATATAGTAAAGATTAATGTTAAAAAATTACTTATAACAACTATTAAAGCTTAAGCCCTTAGAGACCTTCTAGTGCTAAGTCTTTTACAATTGCTTGTTTATCTTATTATCCTTCTTCTTTAGTGCAATAAGCTTAACATACTTTTTAAAAGTTACTTTTATGTTTTTTTTAACTCTTATATAGTAATCTTTATTATACTTTTAAGTTTATTTAAACTAAGCAATTTAAAGTTAAGGGTTTAACATAGTAGCTACTAAGTATAGTAATAGCTTAAAGTTAAAGATTACTTTAGTCTAGTAAGTGTTAAGCTTCTTAAAGCCTTAATTAACAGCTAACTTAAGAAAGCTGTTTAGGTATTAAACAAAGCACACCTTTTACTTATAAAGCTTTTTATTAAGTACATTAAGATTAATAATTATTTACTAAAAAAAGCTAAAGCCTAATTTACTAGTGTTACCTTTAAGTCTTTTTATTATCTTATAAAATAGTTATAGAAAGTTAGCTAAAGTCTTTACTTTATTTTAATTATCTAGTGTTAAAAAGTTAAGTTTTATATTAAATCTATTCTTTTTATCTTTATAGTTATCTCCTTCTTCTAGCTTCTTCTTTCTAGGTGTAATAGCTCTTTATTAACAGAGCTACTTGTTAATTATATCCTATAACTCCTAACAGCAAAAGAGCATAAAATAGACTAAGTGCCACCTTACACTGCTATTCTTAAGTAATGTAAGTGTTATAAAGCTAATAATATCTTTATAGTGTTTTATTTATATCTCTATAAAAAGCTCTTATTATTTAGTAGAGACATTAATTATATTAATAAAGTTATATAGTTAGCTAATAACCCTACACATTTAAAAGATAAAGAACTGTTTTTTTAGTAGTGCGTTAGCTAACATAGCTTTAAACTTTATAACACTATCTTTATATATAATTACCTTAACAACAAGATTTATAATATGCCTAGCATAGCAGATCTAATTCTCTTGTAAGAGCTTTATACTAAGTTCCCTATTAATTACTTTAATAAAGGTAGAGTTATTATTACTTACATTATTACTTATAAAAAATTTAAACTTAGAAACTACTTTATATTTAATTAAGACTTCTCTAATAATTATAGCCTAGTTTTTACTAGTATAATTACCCTATAAGTTTTAGAAGGTAATAAGAATATTACAGTGCTTTTTTTAAGTGTCTGTGTGTTAATTTTAGGTTAGTTTTAAGTGTTATAGTAGAGTAAGAAGTTAAGGCTAAAGTGTAGGATTTCTATAATTTTTGCCACTACGCACAGGTTACATACTAATAAAATAAGCTACTACTCTAAGAAAACTTAAGTAGTTTAGAGAAGTCTATATATTAACACTTAACATAATTATACTACTTATAGTGTGTAGTAAACTTTTAATCTTTTTTTTTTGTAACTTTAGGCTATCTATTATCTATTTTGTAAGTGTTGTGTAGCTGCTAGGTAGGGCGTTACGCAACTAAGGTTAATTTTATGTAAGTAATTCCCTTATTTCTAGCAACATTACCTGCCTTAATAATAAATTATAAGAAATAATTTAATTAATGTACACCTTTATTAACTTATCTTCCTACTAGGGTAACTGTAAGAAGGTGTTATTTACTCCTACTGTAATTATAGCAGCTTTAAAAAGGTTATTTAGTTTAGAGGGAATAAGTAAAAGCCTGCTATTAATAGAAATAAAGTAAGCTTTCTTAAGATAAGTGCTAATATAATAAGTAAACTTAAAGTATTTTGCATAGTTATGTTAACTCTACTTATAGCAGAGCTTATAGAGCTATACCTGCCTAAGAGAGCTACTAGACTCTTAATATAACAGATCTGCGCTGTATTTATATATCCCTAAGTGTTTAGAGCTGCCCTACAGCTAGCGCTTGTTTACTACTCTATACCTAAAACGCTTTTTTAATAATTACTTAGAGCCCTTCTAAATCTAATTCTATGTAATAAAGAAATAAACACTAAGATTATAGCACTTAGAAGACAACTTAAGATACTTATAAGTAAGTAGATTAAATAAAGAGGATAAAATAGATAAAAGTGTGCCTTTTTAAGATGTAAGTGTTAATAAGAGTAGTAATATAAGAACACACTATTTCCTAAGGCGTTTAGAAGCAGCAGTGTAATAGGGCAACGCGCTACTAAAGGAGGACAAAATTATAGCTTAAGAAGCTTAAGATTAACGTGTAGAGCGTATAAAGTTATTTATTACAACAACAACAACAGCAATATAGATAAGTGTTAATACATTGCAGTATGTTAATAAAAATCAACTGTGCAGCATCACTAAGCTCTACTAGGACTACTTAAAAAACACGCCTTAGCAAGCTTACCACAACACTAAAAAAAGTCTGTATACGCTGTATACGCGTAAATTTGCAGCCTTAAGTTACGTATGTACGGGTCAATTCGCCTTTACGTACGTACGTTGTACGGGCCGTAGGAGCTCCGTAATCTACGACCGTACTACGTACTGTTGGCCACGCTGTCCGGAGCTCTTCAGACTTTACACCTAGTTTGGTTCTCACTACCCAAATGACTTCATCCTCCATCCTTTATCTGCCTTCGTGAATCTTGAGTGGTCTGCAAGCCGCGAAACTGTCTCGACGGCGCTGTCGTAGTGGTCTGAGGGCTTTTTCGCGAGATCTGGTAGTAGCCGAGTTGAGAGTCAGGGTCACCGGAAGAGAGGGATTTTTATTAACGAAGACAAGCATGCGGTCGATGCTCTAGTCTAGTTTTCCATGCCAGATTGCAGTGAGATGCGTGGGTGCATATATCTGTCATAAATTATGCTTGATCGTTACATTCTGAGATGGACACTTGGTTGACGAAGAGTGTGTCGATCCACAGAATTCGCCCACAAGGGCTTCGTAAGTTGTGTGTGAGGTTACACAACTCGTGGTAGAGATTCTTTGTGACCATGAAACCCTGGTCCTAGAGGCTGATCTCGCTATTTCCGCTCCCTTGCTCCCAGGTATATGAAAGAGCTTCATAATCAGGCTGGTCTCCAAATGAAGCTTTGAGGAGCTCGTATTTTGGGATATCGCTTCCGCTTCCGCTTCTGGGTAGGAGTTTGACGATCCGGGTTTCTTGTTGTGTGGGGCCGAGAGGGAGAGTTTCGTAGATATTTAGGATCGAATGGCCTGGAGTTTGAGTCCCAAATACGAGAGCAGAGTTCGGAGTAATTTCTAATTTGCGGCTATCATGGAGCATGATTTGGACTATTTTGCTAAGGTTAAGACGTGAAATTTATCCTTTAAATCGGCCTAACTTGGACTATTGAAATGCATGTGTAATCCGTGGTATTTGTAGCCGAGAGTGGCTATGCATGTTGTGTTGGTTAGTCTTCCCATCCATGGTATAGCTCGAGGCTTGACATTCAGCTTAGCCTTCAAAATGTCGTCACAGGTTTTTCTCCGATATTTGTATGTTGTCGGAGAACACGTTGCCCTCAGTAGATATCAATCCTTAGAGAATGGACATATGTTGAAGTATCAACCTAAGTAGATTTTATCTCAACCTCAGAACGCATAATCGGGATCAAGGCCCTAGTATTATTTTCATGCACGGCCGCAAATCTCTGCACCACAAATCCATGATGTCTATTTCTCAATCTCAACTTTGTAAGTTAAATAAACCCATAAATCCTCGAGATATAATTACCTTAAAAAGATCCAAACATTTTTATGCACATATTTTTTTGGTCCCTAGACCTTCAAGTGGCTAACCGAACATCTTTTGTATAACCAAGTTATACCCTAGCCAACTTCCACGAGCACAGCTATATTGAGGGTGTAGACAACGAGACAACGGATAGAAAATAGGTGTGGCTGTTCTAGTATTAAGAATTAAGTAAATACATCTACGCATTCAAATGCTGAATAGGCATATGCAGCAAATTTGTCTAAGGAAGAACAGACGCCAAGTGATGCAGCCCATTTTCCAGTTCCAAATCCATCTCCAAATCCAACCCCAATCCCATATGTTGACTAGAAAAAGTAAAACACCATATCCAATGCAATGTGGCCGCGTAGTGGGTTACAGAACCAGCCGGCTTACAAAAAGAACACAGCAAAAGCACCGACAGCCGCCCCAACGCTCAGCCCAACATGGGCCGCGGCACCCGTCGACTGAGCTGGAGAACTACTGCCAGTCGCACTGGGTCCGCTGCTTGGAGTTGGTGTACGGGTTCCAGTGGGCACGGTAACATTTCCCGTGCTGATTGGAAGCGCAGTACCAGTTGACGCGACTGCTGTCGAAAGCGTCGACATGGTTGTAGAGCTGTTGGCCTTGTTCTCTGGCCCGCCGGTCGAGTTGCAGCGAATGGAGCCTTCTTGGACAGGGTTTGTGGAAATGAGGGCGGGGGTTGCGAAGGTAAAGACCGCCGAGCCACGATCGGTGCCTTCGGCATCTTTATATGCGAGACAGGAGAGCGAGTTCACGTCTACTCCGTCCGCGGAGATGATTTGTAGACCGCAGACTGTGTCGAGTTCTGGGATGAGTTAGTTACTTGTTATTTGTTAGAGGGGAAGGTTAGGGGATAGGAGCGTACGTTTGACGACGAGTTTGTCAACCTCGATGGTGAATTCTTCCAACTGCGTCCTTGTGATGCAGGCGGTTTCTTTTAGCGTAACGGTTGCGCCATGGACGGCAGAAGAAAAGGCTGCAAAAGCGGCGATGGAAGCGAAAGCCTTCATTGTGAAATGTGTGAGGCACAAGGTTGTAATGTATGAGGTGTGTGCAGAGGTATCAACGACAGGTAAGGCCGAGGGACCAAGTGGTTATTAAGTAGGGAAAGTCGCAAAAGAAAACAAGTGTGAGCTGAGTCGAAAAAGTGGGAGGGCTGAGAGGCGCAATGCCAGAAAGTGTAAATGGTTCGATGTCGTTGTGATTTGTGATGAATGAATGATTCCCTACCAACAACACGACGGGCAAGCACCTTTTAAGCACTCGATGGATCGACACAGCTCCCGTTCGAACAAGCCCCGAAATAGCAACAAGGGTCCCTTCACAACGTACTCAAGCAGCGAAAACCCACTTGAGGCATTGCTGGGACCAGTCGGAGCGCGAACAAAGAGGCTCCATCGCGCGGTGAAACATGAGTGGCGGGGAAAGTCAGATGTCAAATGCCCCCAGCCCCCGATCCTCCAGCCACACCCCGCGCATTGGCTAGGGTGATATGAGCGTCATCAGGCCGTCCATGTTGGACTGCGGCTCAGTATTGGCAGAACAACCGCCTGGTGCATTGTTTTTGTAATAATTGTGGTCCCTGTTGCACGATCGCGTTCTTCGTCCACAGCCCCCTTGAGGGATGTCGTGCAGGCCCCCCCCCCCCCAATGTGCTAGTCGTTGGTCGTTAACCAACAACCATCCAAACACCAACTCGCGCAACTGCAAGCACTTAAGGCCCTCTGTTAACTGACTTAGTATTATTTACCCATCCTAAAACGCTTCTGCAACGATTCCAAGCCTTTGTTCAGGCACACGCGCGTCCCAAAGTCACCGTTACAATTACATACCAGATGAGCATCTACAGCCTCATCCTTCCAATAAAGCTCACCCATACAGGTCCTCGTCCTGCGCCGCATTGCCGAACCCACCCTCGGCAATATCGACACTACTTTTACCCTTGTCATGACTTACTGGCGCTTTGCCCTTGCCCTTGCCTTTGCCGCCATTAGCCGCCACACCGTTCAGATCCAGGTGTTCAGTTCTAATCACATAGTCATCGTCCCCATCGCTCTGCCTGGCATCAACATTTTCATCCATCTGTGGCGCCGCAGCCTTTCCTTTCCCTTTCCCTTTGCCTTTTCCTGAATTGAATTGCGGCGCACTTTGGATCGAGTCCGAAAATAGCACTTTTGCTTTTGGCTCCTCCTTTTTCCCAGTGCCCTCAAATGCTTTCCTGACCCTTTCGTAGTGGTGCAACTCATCCGCACTAACGCTAGGTACCAGCTCCCTATTAGCTTCAACAAAATCTCGTTCAGTAACCATGACGGCTGTATCCTCTTCGGTCGCGAAATGATCGAAGAATTGTGCAATGGAGATCGGAGTATGAGTCGCGTTGTAAGCTTTGACCTTCTCATCGACCGCCCGTGCTTGCCGCGTGATTGCTTTAAGCATTGCATCTGAGCACAGGGCATACATGTCGGCTCCTGTGTAAGTAAACGGCAGAGTCGATGCGACTCGCTGGAGCGACAATTCGGGATGCAAGGTGAATCTGGAACGGGTAAGTCAATGCACCATGGGCAGGTTCAAACAATGAGCCATACTTCCTCGACAGCGCCTCTAGGATGGTCAACTGCTTCTCATGCGTATCCGACACGCCCAGATATAGCATCTTGTCAAAACGCCCGGGACGCAATAGGGCCTGATCCAGCAGATCTGGCCGGTTCGTTGCTCCGATAACGAAAACGCCGCCTGCGCCTTCAGCACCGTCGCTCATTCCATCAAGTTCGGCGAGAAGCTGACTGACAATGCGATCCATGACACCGCCGCTATCGCCTTGGTTGCCACGTTTCGGTGCCACTGAATCCAACTCATCGAAGAAGACAACACATGGACGGGCATCGCGTGCTCGCTGGAACACCCGGCGCACATTAGCTTCTGATTCACCAATGTACATGTTGAGCAACTCAGGCCCTTTGACGCTGAAGAAATTTAGTGAGAATTCGGTGGCGATAGCTTTTGCGAGCAGTGTCTTTCCGGTTCCTGGTGGTCCATAGAACAATATACCACTTCGCTTCTTCATGCCCTTAGCGAAGAGTTCGGGCCGCGAGAGTGGCAGTTGTATGGTCTCCATAACTGCATCCTTGACGTGCGTGAGACCACCAACGTCTGACCAACCGACGTTAGGAATCTTGGGTGCCCCAATAGAATCGGCGAAGTTCTTTCGCGCCGCATCGACCGCGGCATCAAAATCCGCCTTCATCAAACTATTACTGAAGTATCCTCCTGCGAGCTCAATGTCTCTAGGGGTGACAATACCAGAAGACGATGTTTGTGATGCAGACGAAGCCAGAGCCTCTACACGGTTTCGCTTTGCCACGACAGCACGATCGACAACATCCACCAAGTCGCCCGCAACCAATGCTGCTGTCTTAACCGCGATATTAGCTAGATCGACGTCTGGAGATAAGCGAATGCCTGCGTTGTCGATGATTGTGCGCAAAATGCCTTCTCTTTCACCTTCGTCAGGAGCTGTCATCTCGATCTCATGCGTGAAGAGCCCTCGAATACCCTCGGGAACCTTATCAACTTCAGTTGTTGTTGCGATTAAGACCCGTGAATCTGCCAGTATCTCTTTTAGGGCCATGTTCATACGATCTGCATTCAGGGCGTCGACATGCTTCATGAGCAGGACCGTATATTCTGCACCGCACGTCAAGCCACGCTCTGCCCTCGCCTTCAAGAAGCCTTCTGTCTTGACATCACCGCCGCCTGCGCCCCCTTCGGTGAGGATGTCAAATGCATCAATGGGAAAGGTGTGCAGTCCCAGATCTTCACTAGCTTGAGCAGCAACAGTGCTCTTTCCAATGCCGCGTTGAGTGGAAGTGATTAATATCGCAATGGGTGGGAGGCCGAGATGGATAGCCCTCGGACTTGTAGCAGCAGACATGAGCTCTCTTAGACGCCGGCGAAGAGACGAAATATAAGGCTTAGGTAATTCATCCGGACCAGTTAACTTTTGGCTGGTCACAGCGGGAGGCCGTTTGGCCCCCAAATAATACTGCCAGGTGCTGCTGATTGAAGCGGGTACTTTGCTTTGTTCACTTCCGGCTTGGACCATTTTCGTGCCAGCTGCATCCACAGACACAACGCCACCCCAGGGATCGGATTCCTCACCGTCGCGTGACTCAGTTGATGACGGTGCGACAACACTTCCAACTTTAAACCATGCCACGACTTTCGTATCCGGTTCGTCAATGTTCCAACTATCGTCAAAGGTATGCTTCCTTGCTTTTGACAAGAGTTCATCGCTCCCCATATCGTCTTCTACAGTGGTCGTCTGAAATATTGCTCGGCCGAGAGACTCATCAATTGAAACGCCAACAAGATCTCCCGTTTTCACGACGCGGCGTTTCTGTTCAAAGTAGTCTTTGAGTGCTGCAAAACAGCTTGGTTGAAGTAAACGATCAGAGGAGAGTGGGGTAGAAAGCTTCAATAGAGTGACCTCTTTTGCGGAAGGAGGCAAAGAGGAGCTAGTGATTCGTGGCTTATGAAGAGCACTTCTAGGCCCGTGAGTTGGATGATGGGCCGCCAAAGCCGTGATACGGAGATGGGACGGGCTCCCTAGGTTTACGAGGAGGATAGGAGAAATATATGCTTGTGAAAAAGTGCTGGCTGCTGGAAATCCTGATATGCTCGGTCGTCGATCTTGATTGGCTAATTTGTGAACTGGGTATCGTGCAACCTTCTTGGTCATGTTTTCGGGCAAGCCGTATATTCTTGCGGGCCGCCATTCAGAATGATCCTCATGTTCAGCTCCAAAGGCCCCCAGGCCCCAAAGTGGGTGCTGCGATGGTTCTGCCGTCGCCTCAATCTTCACCCAGTCGCCGGAAAAGCATCCAACTTTGACCAGGGTATTTGTGTCAACGAAGACACGGGCTTCTTCGTCGTCATCGCTCCCTGGTTTTGGGTGAACAAGTTCATCGGGAACAGGGTGGAAAAGGCCCTGAGACTTGAAGATCTTCCCTTTGGACGATGGGCCACGTGCGGTTGTAGCTGTGAGGCTTGAGAACACAGACCCAGGTGTTGCAACACCGTTTGTATAGAAGTGTCCAGGGCGAGGGGTCGCCGCGGTGAATGAAGACAGGACGCCTGAAGATTGGGGGGGGAGTAGAGGGGCATTTAGAGATATAACATCTTCTGGGTCATCTGACAGATCCCCACCGTCGGTCCCTGACAGCTCCGAGTCTAGGTTGTCGGTCGATTCATCATCAGGGGGGGTTGTGTTTTGAGAAGAACTCCGATCCTCGGCGGCAGAATAGAATTGTTCATTTGAAGTATCTTCTTCATCGTCGTCACCGAATCCGTTCGGTATGGGGGTAGGTTTCATCGGCGGGAGAATTTGTGCAGGTTTGGAGCTGCGGTGCGACTGCAGCACAACAATCCTTGTACTAGGTAGAAGTAGGCCTTGGGATACGGGCTCACACGCAGTTACCTTTGCGGGCGGAGGGGGTACATGGGTGATGGGATGGGCGGGCAAAGGCAGTGGCAGATGATCCCCGGAATGAACGATGGTAGGAGAGCGAAGCGCATCCCGTACAGCATTTGTCCATGCTTTTTCTTGCGCAACATGCAGCACCGTAGTCATCCCTTTCCCGGCCGTTCCATTGACCTTTAAGAATCGGTCTTTTGGCCCCTTTATTGAGCCATTAGCTCGAGCAACCCCGAAGCCTCCGCCAAATTTTGCGTGGACCTCATCCAATTTACTCAATGCCTCCGTGTCCAGAGTGATATAGACTGTATCTAGGCCTACCGGGACGGCATCGAATATACGAATCTCGATTGGAGTATCCCTCCTGTGCGTCTTGATTGGAGAGACGGCCTGCAGCGTTTGTAGGAAGGATTGGAGCGCGAGCGATGACGCCGGAACCTGCAGGGAGGAATGCGGTCGCGCCGCCGAGGCGTCTGTCATCTTGGGGGGTTGGACAGGCAGGATGGTCCATGAGACGGCCTGAGAAGCAACGACAGAGGTCGGGAACCACGGGGTGATCGCGACGTGGTGGACGCGGTCAGATGCGCTGTTGGGGTCTACAATTAGTCAGTATTGGACGCATATCTATCCAGGAGTAATGCACAAACCCGCATTCTTATATTCCGGAAACAAGTCCGCGAAAAGGTCTTCAGAAAGCACTCCCACCTCACCCTTCACACGGTCGTCTAGGAGCAGTCGAGCCGAGATGGCCGGCCGATCGAGCCTCCTCCTTCTCCGTCGCCTCTTGCGCGGATGCATGACCCCATTATGCGCCTCCATGCTGAAATAAAAGAAGAACGCTCAAGGGAGCGGTGGCAGGAGAAAGAAACTTGCACAGTCGCATCGAAGTGCTGGTTGACGCCAAGCCTGCCTGTACCTCGGCAGAGAGCCTGGACTGCTCGGAAACAGTCCACAAGAGCTCATGCTCCTGAGAGCACAACTCAACAACAACAAAACATCCAGAAATGCAGTTATGGCTCTTCGATCCTTCTCAGGGCATCAGGCGGACATATCCCCACTTCACATGAAAGACGGACCCGCCTTAGCGGGGAGTCGTCCAATGCGCCAAGTATCCCCGCATTCGGCCCTGCGACTCCTTGTCAACGCCTTGTCTCCGTCAACACCAATCCTTGGCTGTAGTATCTAGCCTTTGGTCTCATCTTGGCCTTGAACGCCTGTCGCAAATTGGTAGACTCTGGCGCCTTGGTTGCTAACAAGTTGATCTACGGCTTTTGCCGTGTCTTGGAAGGATCCTGACATCATTTGGCAGTGGCACAGAGGTGAACCACACCATGCAGATCTATCAGCCACAATTTTCATCGCTATCTTTTCTCTCCCCTGACGTTTCGTGAACTCTCTCGCTTTTCTCCTCGTCTTCACACTCCTTTGAGTCCAGACAGTTCGTCGGTGCATAAACTTTATGCTATTATTTCATTCACTAGACCAACATCCGCTACCCGCATGGTTGCTTCGCCAGCAACAAGATTACGATAGTACCATGCATGACCCTCTGCAAGCCGTCAAGCACAAAGTTAGCAGAGCTAGCGAGAAGACAATGTCAAAATCCAAAGCGGCTATTGACTACGCCCACCAAGCTGAGCGCCTCGGACAGTGTGCTCCAAGTCAGGAAGACAAAACCACCGGCTCAACCCAGGCCGTCGAAGCCAAATTCATTACAGCCCAAGACCCCGTAACTCAGACTGCAGACGGTAGTCGACTACCAGCAGCACCTGTTGAAGAGGCTACCAAACTCAACAAACTAAGAGACATCATCAACGACCGCGACCCATCTCAAAACGAACTCGTGGAAGTGGAATCACGAGAATCGAAAGATAGATCAATTCATAGTGCGCAGCCAACTAACAGGCACCCGAAAGATGAAGGAGAGGCCGATGCCCCTTTGCGCAATGCTATCCCCCCGTCAAGAACGAATCCTCTATTTCCCCCAATGCCAATTTATGGTCCCCCGACTCTGCTTCGACGAATACAGTGCACGATCTTCAGAATATCTTCAGCCATTTTGTCTCTTTGCTTTCTTGCTGTAATCATACTAGGTGCAGCTTTCACAAGCATCCCTCTCGCGGCCAACCATGTATGGTTACGGCTCACTTTTAGAAATCCCGATAAGAAAAGACCCTCCTATCAAGAAGAAGAAAGGCGCCGAAGAGTGCGAAAGGTCGCAGAGAGGGCCTGGAAGAAGCAAAAGACAGGCAACAGTAGTGCCAGTGGGGGTGAAGAAGGGAAAGATACAGATGAATTTATTCCTCTGGAAGGAGGGCCAGACCCAATTCCCTGTGACGTTCGCTACTACGCTCGCCGCGTCGGGCTCGACTGCGAGATCTTCGACGTCCAAACGGAAGATGGTTTTATCATAGAGCTATGGCATCTATATAACCCCCGCGAGTACCAGCGAACAAACCGCTCTCAGCGCTCTCCGCACGCTCCAGAAGTCTTCTCAAAAGTCCCAGCCGCCAACTGTTTTACCAACGGCGCACCAGGCTCGCAGTATGGACATGGTGAGAAGAAATATCCAGTTCTCATGATCCATGGCCTCCTTCAATCAGCAGGCGCCTATTGCACGAACGACGACGACAGCCTCGCCTTCTTCCTCGCCAAATCAGGCTACGACGTCTGGCTCGGCAACAACCGCTGCGGTTTCAAGCCCCGACACAACCTACTCAAATATTCAGACCCGCGAATGTGGGCTTGGAATATCCGGCAAATGGGCGTCATGGACCTCCCCGCCCTCATCTTGCGCGTCCTTTCCGAAACCGGTTTCGAGAAACTCGGCCTCATCGCGCACAGCCAAGGCAGAACACAAACTCTCGTCGCGCTCGCGAAAGAACAACGCCCGGAAATCGGGGAGAAAATCAGCGTCTTCTGTGCTCTGGCGCCGGCAGCGTACGCAGGCCCTTTAATTGGGAAAATATACTTTAAGTTCATGCGTGTTATCAGCCCCGGCATGTTTCGCACGATTTTCGGCATTCATGCGTTTATACCATTTATGATGACTATGCACTCTCTCCTCCCGCCTCGTTTTTATGGGGCGATGGGGTATCGTGTTTTCTCTTTCATGTTCAATTGGACGGATGACCGCTGGGAAAGAGATCTAAGAGACCGCATGTTCCAATTTGCACCTGTTTATGTCAGTGCAGAGAGTATGCGCTGGTGGCTCGGTAGAGAATGTTTCGCAAAACAAAAATGCATTCTCGCAACGCGGGAGGAGAAAAACATCGAAGATCGCGAAGATGAGCAGGAGGATCAGAAACTCAACCGGTCGAGTGAAGAATCCTCGGATGGCGAAGACGAAGACCCTTCTGGAACCCGTACAAGCCAGGGGAATGAAGCCAGCGCGCCTCCTTCACAACCAGAAAATATTACGGGCAAGAAAATCCAGCACCGCAATACAGACCGCGCCCGCTACGCCTGGTACGGACCCCAAATCCCTCCTTTCGCCCTCTGGGTTTGCGGCGCAGACGACCTCGTCGACGGCCGAAGACTCCTGCGTCGCTTCGAGCGCAACCGAGAGCCGCATGTCGACATTGTGCACTCCAAGGTGATCGAAGGCTACGAGCATCTCGACGTTATATGGGCTATGGATGCGATCGAGAAAGTCGGAAAAGAAGTGCGAGAAGTGATTTGGAAAACCGTGCCCGTGGATGCGAGAAAGGTTTGCAGAGTGCCCAGTGGGTGTGGCGAGATCAGGGAGTTTTACCAGCGAAAGGTGATTAGAGAGAACGCGACGAGGGAGGTGGATACTACAGCTAGGGAATGGAGTCTGCGGGGTGCAGAACAGGCTGTGAGAGGCGATGGGGAAGGGGTTAGGGATTTGGAGGCGGAAGTTGAAGCGTAAGAACGGGAGCTTTAAAGATTTTTAAATTTTACAATAGAGCAGTATATTTTATTATACTAATAGTAGCATAGCGTTCGGAGTAGGTTCAGGCTAGCTAGTACGTACACATGATACCCACTAATTCAACTCGATTTTTTTAATTCCAACCCTTTTTGTGGTGAAATGGGAATGGAACTGCTACAAAATAACCGCACGCGGAAATATGTCATTATCTCTCCCTCCCTCCTAAAAACCCCTTAAATGCAGAGGAATTGCATGCTGCTAAAATGAATAACAAGAAATTTCCGACGGTCAGATTCTTAGCATAGCTAGTCTGCAGATATGACGATCACGGGAGTGTATGAGATACGACATAATTCTATACCCTGCTGCCGCTCCTATCTAATATGGAAACAAGCTTAGCAGATCAAACTTTTCTTGTAAATGCTACATGGTAAATGTTGCATAGTAGTACAAATGCGTATATAGTGAGATGTGAGTATGAGCCCTAATACACCCCCTACAATCGACAACCAGGAAGAACGAATAGTTAGGGGTAGCGCCCACATCCCCAAGATTTGAGATTACCGCTGTTCATTTCGAGATGCCGCGGGAGTGTTGAATAGCCTAGATTTGTTGGGAGGTTCATGTGGTTCGAGAAATAGTGCATTGTCTAGCTGTTTCAGGGTTTTTGAATGAGGCTAGGTCCATGAGAAATCAATAGTGTGCTCCGGTGACAGCCTAGAGATTTCCGGAAGGAGTGTATTAGCAACAATCTCCAGCGAATTTAGCTACATGTAGTGACCAGAGATGTCACATGGGTACTTACCTTAGGGTTTTTAAATGAACGACTCGTGGGCCTCACCAGCATGTCTCTTAATTCAGAGCCTCGGAGCATTCCTTAATCCCCTGTTTATAATGTCCAGTTCTTCTCTGAGTGATATCAAACTGCCAACCGTGATGGGAGCGTTCAAATCCTGACATGCTTTTAAAGAGTGGCCATCATTGTGTAGTTGACCCTAGTCAGATATCATGCCGACATTGATTGCCTTCAAGTTCTCTGTTAAGATTGCAGTCTAACGAGACTCGTTTAAGGGGTTGAGTTGCCTTTTTTGTGGAGCTCTAAGGGACGCGCATGGGCTAGATAACTGAGTTGATTGATAAATGAGCGAAAAGCTCAGCTCTATGTGGTAGTGGTAACACGGTACAGTGAAAGAGCGCCAAGGCTCTATTCGTGAATGTAAAATTAGGGCTGAAACAGAAATAGTGTCAAAGTGGGACTCTCATAGTACAAGGCATCTCATGAAGACGAGCAAGTGAAGGTGCGGGTGTACTCATAACCCTCGTAATCTGCAAGGACTTCGACTCCAAGAATCCAAAGCCCATATTGGGGAAGATACTGACAAAGCTAGATCCCTTGTTCTTGCCCCCCTCGGGATTCTTTGCCTCCATGTTCTTTCCCTATCTAGACCTACCCGTCTTCAGTAATTTCGCACTCCTGCGCTTCTCCTATGGTCTTAAATTACGTTCCAAACTCTTCCTCTGTGCTTCTTTAATGTTTTGGTCCCTGAGAGGTATTTGGCGTTGGGGATAGTAGGGGGGCGTTCGACCAACTTTGATTCAGCGGCGGAGGCAGAACAAGGTGAAACTGAAGATCTATAACTTGATAAAAAGGAGCGGGAAAATGAAGGCCTGACACCACGGGACTAAAAACGAGTGCAGCAGAACCTGCTCTGATTTTTGGATTCGGGCGCCGATGCGAGACTACGGAGAGGGCGGAGGTTTTGGATGGCTTCTCTGCCTCGATTTGCTCGCGGACGTGTTCTTCGATCTATTCGTCTCGGAGGTTTGGGGTGGTTGATACTGTTCTTGGGACGATGCTGTAGGGTTGCATTGCTTCTCAGCACCGGCGGTTATGCACCCCCTCTGAGTTGTGCTCTGCAATAGCGAAGGTTTTGAATTCCCTTCGCCTGGCTGATCCGTGGTTTTATTGACAAGGGTACCTTCATCTGCTATCACCGAATCTTGCCGTCCCTTGCTCTCGAAAGGAATGGAGGAGTTTTCCTCGGGCTCACTATCTTCCTTCACCAATGCCCTACCCTTGGCCAAAGGTGGTCCTGCTTCTGACACCGCTGCATCCGAACCCCCATTTACCCTACTACGCGCAATAGAGCTCGACTGCGGTTCAGGAGATCCAGGGCGGTACACACGTTCTACACCCCTTCTCGGCTTAGTCTTCTTCCTCGGCCGCGAATCAATCGCCCCTCGACGCACGTATTGAAGCCCTGCTCTGTTGCTCTGTGCATGGGCTCGACTGGCATATCTGGGTATATAAATTTGATTGCCACTGGCATCGGTTTGCATTCCCCGCCTACTTCTCCTCGAGGGCCTCCGTTCCTGTGGCGTGTATGTTTGCCATTGTTGCATTCCAGCTGGTTGGGGACTCAGTCGTCGAGGCTGACGCCGAGTGGAAGGAGAATAGAGAGCTGAGGCTGGAGATTTAGTGGGTGGGGTTGTTCTTATGCCTCCATCGTCGGGGTTTGACGATGTCACTTGGAAGAAGTGGCCTAGTCTCTTGATGAAGGATGGTTTTTTCTGGAAAGACGGGCTTCCAAATTTCTTTTGTTCGAGAGAGGATGCGGGATTTCGATTTTTTCCTGGGCTGCCCACGGGGGGTGTCTTTCCCTTGATTTGGGAGGATATGCTTGACGAAGCTTCCTTCTTGTTACCTGGTGCTGGAATGCTTGGCGAAGCTTTGATTCTTTCATCCTCCTGACTTTGAACATGCTTTACTTCTGACTGGGGAACATGTGGTACGTTAGAGTTTGTAGGACTAGTCTGAACGGCCTGGTATGCTTTGTCTTCCCTTGTAATGACCCCAGGATTTGATGAGGTTGTGCCACCAGCTGAAGAGGATTTTTGTTCTTTAGAGAGAGAAGACAAAAGCTCAGAGCCATTCTTATCTCGAGTCCCTTGAACTTGTCTCTCTAAAGCCTCATCAACGTTTGCACCCAAACCGGCATCAGGATGAGCATCTTCGCTAACCCTGATCAAACTCGAAGTAGACGGTGGCTTAGAGTCACTGCTACCCCTATAGGAAGGAGTAGGTGTTGTTTCAACCGTGTTCGTAGCGGAATCGTGGGAGAAGATTGAAGAAACGGAAGTAGCTGCAGTCTTAAAGGACATCATCGATTGATTACTGCTTTCAGCGGACGGAACTGGGTTATGAATAGGGGCTTCAACTGCATTTTCCACTTTTGGGCTAGGAGAAGGGCTGTATAAGGAAGTAGTAAGGACAGTGGAGCCATTCTTAAACTGGGTTGCCATCTCGTTTGTCTTCTACATTAATGTTAGTTTCGCAATAGCTTGGGTGATGGAGGAAGTGAATCTTAAAATCCCTTGCTAGATAGATTTGCGGGATATACTTACCATCCTCGACTCCAAGTGCCAAACCAAGGGGATTTTGCAGGAGTGGCAATACGTGCGAGCGGCTCGACTTGACAATGTGAAAATATAAGGAGACACGTGTGTGGCCGGACGAGGCGCGCGTGTGTAATGGAGGAGCAAACGTGGGCTTTGCGTGCGCTTCGGAATCTGCTTTGCGTTACGTGTCAAAACCCCGGCCTAGAAGGTCCAAAGATCTCACCTACTATGCAATCCTCAATAGAGAGGAAGAAATCTATATATGCTGGATGGGATAAGCACCGAAACTCTCTTACGCTGTGCTTGGAGAGAGCAGGTGAGTAGAAGAAGAACGGCAAGGACACAGGGCTTGGTGAGGATGCGAGAGCTTTGAAAATATTTTCCGTGCGCGGAAGTATAATTAACTAATTCATAGTGTAGTGGTCGTCTAGTTATCAACAATAGAACTTTTTGTGGGAGGCCTCATGAACAAACCTGCGAATCCTTGGTACAGGGCGCGTTGAACATGGATGTGTCCGAAATCTCACAATAATAGATCTCGGTACTATTCGGGAATCTCGAATGGTTATAAATTCGTGACCGAAAGATATAGTAGAGGAGTGCCATGCTGGCTTCTAGTGACAAGTCAGAAGGAGCGAGTCGCGAAATCATGACTAGAGTATTTTGATACATTCGCCAAAAACAACTTAGGGGATATTTATGTAGATGATGAGAAACGGTGCAACATATTAGCTAGATTCCCTTATTTCCGAAGAAAGCTTCCGCAATATGTAGACTTTGGCATGCCAGCACTTCCGAACACGTTGCACACCAGAGGACACGGCACAAACTGTTGAAGAACACCCGCGCGCTCCGCGGCCGAATAGATGCTGTATGCACTGACGCCTACCTAAAAAGCGTGCCATGGGATCCAGAATACGAACCTTTCCCATGCATGATCAACCTGATCCCTGGCCAGCGCAATGGTCCAATGTAGTGTACATTATTCAGGAAGTAAAAAGTGGGGTTGCCCAACCACGTTCCCAGGGAGATTTAAGAGTAGTGTACCAAGAGGGCGTGCTGCGCTTACACTGCTTTAACCTCCAAAGCGCCGTTCGCAGACTCCATCTTCATGTCGGTCTCCAAAACTTCTGGTCTCCATCTTGAGAGAAGTTTCTTTGCCGATGGCTTGGCTCGATCATCTAAGTTCTGTATCAGCTCGATTCAATATCTCTCCTAGTATGAATGCTTACTAGTATGCCACATATCCTCCAACACCTCTATACATATCTCCTTAGCCGGAGGCCTGAACATATACAGGTACTGTAATACCATGATCGCGAGGTCAATTCGCTCCGGGTCTTCTGCCATCTTCTTCATGCGTTGGAGAATGTCTCTGTCAAGCTCCGGAATCTCGGACATGAACCGAAGGAGAACTTTGTCAGTGCCTTCGGCAAATGCAATGATACCGTCTACAAGCCTCAAGGCACATCTTTGGTAGTTACCCTTGCAGGCCGGAGAGTTGGTAGCGTTGCCATTCATCGCAAGTTTAGCATTCATTTTAGCGATGTCAGCTTGGAGGCGGTCATTGTACCACTCCTCATTCAACCAACTGATGGCGACGTCAATCCTCTTCTTCCAATCGTACATGATGTAGTTGTAGAGGGCGCTCCGAATTGATTCGCTGAGTGAGAAGTTCCCCTTTCGTAGACCGCTGAACGCAGATTTAATATGTTCATCCGGATCGTCGAGACCAGCAGCTGCACGGGTAGCCAGGCGAGATAGAATGGTAACCCACGAGTCTCGATCATAGCTGCTTGCGGCGAGGCGATTAAAGCCGCCTTTTGTAGTTTTTCCTCGTGAGGAAGTTTCATCGAGGGAAGACAACATGCCGAACACTCGCCGGACTGTACCGTCTCCATATTTTTGGATCTCGTGTTCGGTCAGAGGTGGAGCTTGCGGCAGTTTGTATGGAGCAAGAGGTGCACTGGGCACACGATCCGGAAGCATGCCATCAGGTGGCGCACTATCTAGCTTGTTGACAATTTGTTCAGCGTCTTCCGGTTCGAAGTCAGGCTCGTATTCTTCTTCTTCATCGTTGAGAGATGCAGATTCAGCGGCGGCGGTACGAGCTTGAGTCTTGCTAAGATCGAGATACCGTGATCGGACAATCTATGTGTTGCGCGTTAGTTGGGTCTTTAATCGGAGCTTGGACGGCCGCTTCAGCGAACGCTACACCGTGCGAGGGTCACGTGATTATGTCCAGGTGCTGCTTCCCAAAACGGGTAGCCTGCCCGCGCAAGCCTCTTCTATAACGTCGGAAGATTCATCACGTACATTGATTGCATTTCCCAGTTTTGCTTCGTCAATTGATTGCAGAACAGGTACAAGTATCCTGAGCAACTGTTCTGGGTCCTTGAACGCCTGCACGTCGAATTGCGCAGTCGCACCGTTGGGATCCAATGTGAAAAGTTGACGGAAGCTCACTGGACCAGGTGGCAAAGGAGGCACGGGATGAGAACTAGGTATGCTGGCTCCCACCCGTTGTCTCTTTGATGGGTCCAGACCATCAGTTGGTTCAACTGGGGCAGGTCTCTTACGGTTAGATTCATCAAACACATCAAGACGCATGCGATGGATACGTTCAAGATACTGCTGTATCCGTCCAGTGAAGGGGCCCTCCGGATTCCTACAGCCATTAAGTTAAGCAACGGCAATGGTGGGAGAAGAACTAGAAACTTACCTCTTTATGACGTTCACGAGCAGCGCTCGTGTGGTCCGCTCCATTGACTTCATCATGACTTTGTTCTTCGGAGTCATTGGTGAGTTTGCAAGCTTGAGAGGATTAAAGTTGAGAACACTGGAGAGTATCTTGTTCGCGATATATGGTCGTCGCTGAACAAGCATGCCCAAGCTGTTGAGAGCCGCGGTGACGAGCAATGCATCACTGCCTCCTGTCAGAGCCATTCCATCACTCAAGCTGAGTCTATCTAACCTGTGGTCTCCATGTACTATGTCCAGTAAACGGTCCAGAAGCCCAGATGCTTCTGCTTCAAGATTCGCATGGAGCATTAAAGGATGATCGCGTGGAACGAGGGCAAGAGATATATCGTTCTGTTCGGGTCGCTGTGGAAAGGATAAGTTATTTCTTCAAGGGGGTAGGTAGAGTCGAACGAAACGATGCTCACCCTTGGATCCGCAACCATGCCAGGTGTTTCGACGAGGACCACCTGCTGGACAAATTTGACACAGCATATCCGCACGCCGGGCGGCGCCGTGTCCATCCGCCGCAGTATATTGGATTTTATCGCAGTCATGAGCTGCCAATTCGAGGTGTCATGGGGGGTGGAGATTCTGGAAGCACATTCAAGTATGAGACAGCATTCTTCAACAGCGCAGTCAATGGAAACATATACAAGCAAGCGCAAGGAGAAAGAGCTGGTCGATAAGTCGCGCTCGTGTGGCCAGCGCCATGTTAGGTAGAGTTCGAGGAGACTTACATATGACGGTAGACCAAGGGATAGATGGTGGCAGCCGCCTGGACAGCGCTCTTTACGACACCAGCATCATTCTCCCCTTCCAGATATGCCCGCAGTGTAGGGAGAACGGTCAGACTGCACGTTTCCTTTGCATCAGACGGCCACGTAGGGGACGCGAAGGTCTCAGCGAGGAAATCAGCACCCCACCGTCGTGTCTCGAGAGCAGCGTTTGTGTTGGGTCCAATGATGGGCAGGACACCAGGGATGATGGTAGGATAGTATCTGCCATCGCCGAGCGCGAGCGAGCGAGCAGACTCGAGCTGCCCCAGAGCTTGCGTGGAGGAGTTCATGATGAAGACGAGAAGTGCAGGGCAGAGGGAGATGAGGAGCTTTGTTTCTGAGCAGCCAAGGGTGCTTGTTCACACGCGCGGCTCAATCAAACTGGTGAGCGCGACAAAGCCCAGAGAGTAGTTGCCGATGATACCTTCATCCCACACACGAAAAGCCCTAAAGAGAAATAACCTGCGAGGGCGAGGGACCGTAGAGGAACAGGAAGCTGCCTATGAAGTGAAAGTGAAGGTGGATAGATGCAGCATGAGCCGTTTTGGATGATGCCCGGTGCCAAGAACTGGTCTGTGCGGGTGAAGAGCCGCAACACCGCCTCGGATGAGGATCGTGGGTCGTCCTTCACCTCCGCAACCCCCTCGCCCTCGCCACAATGGTGTAGTAAGTCACTCCTAGACTCAATCTCGCATTCCGCCATCTGACTTCGACAGCCGGCCATTTCGATCGACGTATTACGATGCGCAGATGCGGGCATCGCCTGCTCTGCTGCGAGCTCGAGCACCCTACCTAGTCAAAAACACTATTACCGGCATTGCCATTTGCGGTGTCGCAATCGGCATATGTAAGACAGCTCGCCATTTTCTGTGACACCCTCTCATGGCTTAGATTCATACACAATTCGCGTTATCTCGCAGGACGAATTCGACGATGTCATTGTCCCCGACGAGCCCGTGAAACACCCTCAAGCATCGAGCACAACAGAAGGCGTAAAACAAGCTGTAGCGGCTGGGAAGTAGTAGTCATAGCCTTTCATAAGACACTGGGGTTGCGTCACAGGGAAGCTGTCATTGAAAGTGCATCTTTCGTTGGCTCTTTCAAGTCTACAATTACATACATACATGCATTCAGCAGGCGTCAAGAGGTGGCTATTTTAGGGGACGCACAATCCTTCACGATGGAGTGTTTAGAAAACCCACTTCTCCTCTCTCTCATTTTGAGATAGGCTTGAGTTGGACAAATTGAAAATATCGCATCCACCTGCTCAGACCACCGCCGAATGCAAGTCAATCAACTTAGGGAAGTGAGTTTTATCCCTTACATTGGCAATCGATAGTGCATATAAAAGGATAAAAAATTGTTTCTTGCACCTACATACTATACGGCTTCATAGTCTTGCCGTTTTCGTCTTCTTGGTTGGGCTCACCTGCCAGCCAAAACTCTATTCACGATGCCAAGTTAGTAGAGGCTTCAACCCAATTTGAAACAGTATGTCACTTACCGCTTTTTCTAGTTTACCACTTTGAATGATGACGTTCACAATAACAGGCACCTCAGCTTGGAAACCCTCTATTGTCGCTTTGTGCAATTCCTCCGGCGTTCGCACGAAATATCCCAAACCGCCACACACTTCCGCCATCTTCTCGTATCGCACTTCCCAGCCCAGTGCCCAGCTCCGCAACCCAGGTTCACCTTTGACCGTCCTCTCCTGACGCCAAGACCAGTCCTCACCGGAACTAGAATCCCCAAAGTATATGCCCCCATTATTGATAACAAATATGAGAATATCCATTTGAAATCGTGCCATGGTCTCAATCTCCATACCCGCAAAACCAAAGGCGCTATCTCCTTCGATTGCAACGACCTTTTTCCGGCGTGCAGGACCAGAGGTAGCTTGTGCGCCAGGGCCGTTGTAAGCTTCGTATGCAGCAATAGCGTAAGGAAGACCAACACCCATCGTAGCGTAGGAGCCTGCATCCAGCCGAAGGCGAGGATGTTGCAGAGGGAATATGGATCTTGATATGTCCATCGTATTTGCCCCCTCTGCGATGTAGACTGTACCTCCTTCTTCTGACGGGGATAGAGAATGGAGGGCTTTCTTGATGACATCGAATGCATAAGCATAAGAAAGAGGGGTCGAAGGGTCTGCAGCTGCGGCAGAGGCAGCAGCCTCGTTCTTCTCCTTTGCAGCTATGAGCCTGCGGGCAAAGCCCGATGAAGAAGGGTCGTAATGCCAATCCGCCAAGAGTCGAGTCAACTGCGAGGCCATAATATTAACGTCTCCGACAAGAGCCAGCTGTGCGTCCCCTGCATTCCGGCCGAGCTCTTCTGGTGAAATATCCACCTGGATGAACCGCGCTGCAGGATTCCACTTTGGCGGTTCACCATAGTGGAATATCCAGTTCAACCTCGCACCCAAGATAAGAACCACATCCGCCATCTTCAAAGCTACAGATCGTGCAGACGAGACATTTCGAGGATGCGAGTCTGGCAAAACTCCCTTTCCCATTGGACTTGGTAAGAAGGGCAAGTTGGTTTGGTCAATGAGACGCCGAATAACGTCCTCAGCTCGGGCATATGCCGCACCTTTTCCTATCAACACCAGCGGCGCTTTTGCACCCTTGATGAGCTGTGCGACCTTGAATAGTCGAGCCTCGTCGGCTCCTCCTGCCGGAGGGTTTGCTACCGATGGCGTTTCCTCCACGTCCTCGAGGGAGTCTAGCGGGTCCATGATGATGTCTGCGGGTAGGTCGATGAAGCTTGTTCCAGGCCTTCCATAGAATGAACATCTGTAGGCATTTGCAATTACGCTGGGCAATGATGCAGCGTTCGGTGGTCGTATGGATAGCTTTGTGTGAGGTGTGAGTAGGGAAACACTGTCTAGTTCCTGGAAAGCTCCTTTCGTAACCAGGTTGGTCTCAATCGAGCCTCCAAGAAGGGGGAACGGGAAATTGTTTGCAGACGCATTTCCCACCTGCTTAATTTCAGTAATAGTCAGGTTGAGGCGATGCAAAACCCAAATGCCTTTTTAGCCAATGAGACTATTAAGCTGGTTCAATTATTGACTTTTGGACAATAAAGTTGAGAGGGAAATGATTGAAGGAAGAATACCTACACCAGCGATGGCATGCAGAACACCCGGACCTCCCACCACAAGACACACACCAGGCTTTCCAGTCAAGTAACCATACGCAGTGGCGGCATAGCTTGCTGCTTGCTCGTTGCGGAATCCGATGAAGCGAATACCTAGGTTAATCGCCTGCTCGGCGATGTCAGAGACAGGGACCCCGACAAGTCCAAATACAACAGAGACGCCCAGGTCTCGTAAAGTTCTAGCAATAATGTATGCGCCGGTGACTGACTTTGAGGACATTGTGTGTTAGCACTAATAAAGCTGGCATTACTGTGGATTATCCAGGGTAGAGCTTTAATGAGTGAGGAGAAATAGCCAGAGGGAGGAGAAATATACAGAGGGAAGCCGAGGTCGAGGTCGACGGTACGACGAAGACCTATGATGACTATATGGATCTACTAGGCTACGGAAATGTTGGAAAAACTCGACTTTGAATTATCTCATTAGTAGCTATGCAGAACTCTAGATATTCTATTGATATTCTACTTTCAGCGTCCCAAAAATTCCACCAGGGCGTGGTGATAGGCGGAAGTTGCAGCTGAGTCAACAATGGCATTCATAACTAACATAAAACATAGCAGGGCCATATTAAGACAGGAATTTCCGTCCTATTAACAGTCTCTTTGATTCTGGCACAACGTTTAATTAATGAGATCTGTGCTGCTAATGTTCCAAAACAGGTGCGAACATGATATAAGTCTCGTGACTTCGCGTGGCGCAAAGCGCCAGATCTCAGCCTGTTGTTTCTCAGTACATCAGCTCCTCCCCAAGGGCCACACTTTCAATATGCCACCATCATCGAATCTCGTCAATTCTGACAACCCACACCATGCGCAGTGCTTCTTTCATCATTCAGTCCTCAATTCTATATGTAACGGCCTCAAACGCAATGGTGGACGGTGCACAAGCAAAGCGAACCAATTCCCCATCGGATACCTCCCAACATGCAAGTTGCACATAGATCAGTACCAGCGAGCAGGCAGCTGTCGCGCCATAGAAGAATGCGGTGAACGTTGTGGAAGACCGTGCCACTATAGGCCACCGCTTCTCGAGGTTTGCCGGGAACATGCGAATGGCACTCCTACTATTCCTTCTTACATTCTGAAGATACCCACGGAGATTCGAATGGCCATCTTTTGGTACCTATTTCCGAACTACATCAAGGCAAAACCATTTCCTCAGAGCCCCATCGAACGTGGCATGCACGCTGCGATTCTCCAAGTCAACCGCCAAATGTACGACGAAGCAAGCACAGTTCTATATCAACAAGTCCCCTTCCGTGCATCTATAGAGTGCGATGAAATCTTCATTTGCCACAATTTCATAAAGCCGAGCCTACGTACTATTGCTCGTCGCATTCGAAATCTTGAAGTAACCTTGCACATTGGGCACAAACCCTACTACGGGACTGGAATTCACTCGGACCACGGTATCAGCTTCGAAGACTTCCGACTATACCAAGTCCGGCACAATGCCCGCAAGTTAGTGGAGCTTCTTCAACCCACAATAGAAGACGGCAGTCAGTCCGGCTTACATCAATTGTCCCTGTCTCCTCAAGCAGACCACATATTCAATTGGACTCGTGAAGAAGCAATCCAGGCTATCGCCTTTGCGATAGGCCCATTCAGAAATCTCTGCAATATCCGCCTAGCTTCCTTGAAGTCCGCTTCGTTGTCCTCGGCAAGTGAGCCTAACATTATGGTTGGGGTCTCTGAAACTACTTCAATGCCTGAAGATGAGGCATATTTCAAGATCCAGCGCACTTTTGGATCAGAGCTGAAGAAAGGCCCGGAAACAACACTTTCTCATCGCAAAATGCTCAAAGAAATTGATGAGAATGTTGAAAAGATCGAAAGTCTTGTTCAACTGCTAAAACGAAAGGATGCTATTCAGGCCCCTTCTTGGCACATGACGCTCAAATGGTCCGTTTCCATCTTTGGTGGGGCAGACCGGGTTCTCCACTATGCTCGTTTCCTCCGAGAGCACGAAGAATTAAGCGAATTCTGTGCCATCCGCCAAGCGATACAACAACGGTGGTTGAGATATCAGGAGTTTGCTCGTCGACAACAGTGTGACATTGCCGACCATATACTGGCTTTGTCTGACAAAACCGAGCAGTCGAGCTTAAAAGCTCGGTTCCCTTCGAGTTTCCGGCTAAGTTCTCCAGATGTCGAGGGTCAAGATACCTTGGAGCCTATTGAAGTCAGCCTCTGGCCTGAACTAGAGATGAAACTGGGACTGCCATTCTTGCATGAAAACTCGGTTGAGGAGTGGGAGGATGATGAGTGCCTGTACTTCAAGCATGATAATCAAGTCAGATTCCGCTTGAAGACTCCCCAAATCATGAGGGAGAAGAGGAGTGATGGAAGCCGAGGCTAAGCCGCTGTGTCATCCCAGCCTATCCGCTTTAAGGCCATTTCTGTAATATCTCTCATTTTAACAACATCTGCCTGTTGCATCCCCAGCATCTTCGCCTCGGATTATAATAAATTTTCGAAAATTCCATCCAAAAAACCGCACTATGTCTGCACGTAGCTGCTTGGAAAGCTTCCTATCCCTTTGACCTATCCGTAAATTCAACTTTTTCTTCAGTTGTGGTACCCTTTATCACCTAACGTGGAGCATGATAGGGGCAATTTCTAACCGACATTTACCTCCTTATAAGTTCTTCTTAGTCCCAGAAAGAGCTGTGATATATTCTGTCCACCATGTTTACTTTCCATGATATGTGCTAAAGCTGTAAGTCTCGTGACTACGCGTGATGCCAACCTTGGAGGTGTCTCGGACCCACGCTCCGGCTGCCCTACACTTTAAGCTCACATCCTTCAAAAGGATAGCTTGGGGGACCCTAATCTCGGACATATAGATTAGCTCACAGAAGTATTAAGACACAGCTCCCTCAAGTCAGAGCCCCTCCTTCACTATACCTTCGCACTTAATCTCAACTCGCCCGCGCTGCAACGGTGTACCTTCCTCCATAATGTTAAACGATGAGTCTTTCTATCTCTATACTACGTCCGAAAAACCATCCATTCCCACATCTCAGGCCACGACTTCCCCAACCCGGACCCAACGCCATGCACAAATTCACCTAAAGTGCCTAAGCAGACGACTGAGAATATTATGAAATCCATACATCTTGGCTAGGTGTCTGGATAACAGAAATTCCCCGAGTCCTTCTGATTACCAGCTTTCTCCTCGCCGTTTTTCTCCCCGGTATCTATCTGATCACTAGCAATTTGGACACAACTCCGTCTATATCCTTAAGTGTACCTATTCTTACGAGTGGTACTGCTTTACATCACCTCACGCTACGACAACGACAATCAAGACTGCTACTGCTACGGCTAACCTGGGTGAATCTTACGTTCAACCAAGAAGCCACAGCACTTTCTAGTGGGTTCAACGAACTTTCCATTTGATAAATAAAAGCAAGGCTTCGTCGCTTGACTGCGCTATTCTCATCTCGTTCTGACTGCCACTCCGGATACTAACATGAGATATTTCGGCCGTCCTGTTAAAGTTCAAACAAAATAGGAAACCCAAAAGCCAGACAACCCCCTAATTTCCATTCACTCAATTGATCTTTTCACATATCTGATGTGCCACCAACCATATCACCCTACCCCTTCCTCCTTCTCATTCCGACATGCAGCCCCAACGGCTTCCTCAAAAACCCCTCCCTGGTCTCCATCTCACCCTGCCTAAGCTCAAATTCATACCTTCTAAACACCGTACTGACAATCAGCGCCAACTCCATCTCCGCCACATTTCTTCCCACACAAGCCCTCGGTCCATAACTAAACGGTATAAACCCGTTCTTCTGCTCCTCAGTTATGGTCTCCCACCGCTCGGGACGGAACGTGTCAGCGTCCGGGCCCCAGATTTTAGTGCTGTGGTGGATGGTGTACGCAGGCACGGAGAGCACCACACCTTGTGGGAAATGGTGGCCGTTGAGCGTGATACCCGGGCCAGGGGGAATCATTCGTGGGAGACCCAGAGACGAGGTGCTGTGGATGCGCATTGTTTCTTTGATAACAGCATCAAGATAGGGGAGGTCTTTTACAGCAGCGAAGGTGGGCACCATATCGATGTCTGGTAACGCTGAGTCTAGCTCTTTCTGCAACTTCTCAATGACTTCGGGGTGCTGGAGGCAGTGGAAGAGGAGCGCGCACGACGTGTTGGATGTGGTATCGCTGCCGGCGATGAGTTGCGTGAGAGCTTCGGCTGTGAGTTCTTCGCGCCCAAGCTTTGCGCCCGTTTCGTCACGGCCTTCCATCAAGCGGGCAAGGAGGTCGACGCGGGTCGTTTCGGGCTTTTCGAGGCGTGCGTTGACGCGGGCGACGGCGATGCCCGCGAGGTTTTCGACGGCTTTGATGCCGTTCGAGAAGAAGGGGTCTGGGAGGTATTTTGCGTAGGGCTTCAGTTGGGGGAGGCAGCCCAGAGTGCTAGAGAGGTGGTTAACGTATACTTTCTTAGGGTTGGCAAATCCAGCTAAGGGAAAATATACCCAGAAACCTCACCCCTCCGATTCAAGACCTCAATAGCGGGAGCAAACGTAGGCTCAGAATTCGGCGTTTTCCTCACCTCCGCGACATCTCGTCCCTCTTTCAACATTCCGAACGGTGCACCAAATGCCAGGTCCCCAATGACATCGAAAGCGAGGTAGTTGAACCAGTGTAGAGCATCCATATCGTAGTAGTTTCCCTTTGCGGCCTCAGCTCTCTGGTCCCATTGTGTACGCAGTTCCTCGAGATTATGGTGAATATATTGCTCAAACTGGCCAACGGATTTGGCACTGAAGGTATGTGAGACGGTTTTGCGTTTGCGAGTATGTTCAGCACGGTCTCGGGTGTTGAAGAGGCCGCGGCGGATGGAAACAAAGGCGTCGTAGTATTCACTAAAAAGCATATCAGCTACAGTTTCTTGCAGATGCAGAAAATAGGTGAGCATGATACCTCTTCAAAAATCCATTTCCATGTCCGTAAATGTGTTGGATTGCATTCGCATCTGCAACTGAGACATGATTCGGTTGAATGCGAACCAAAGTGCCGTATTTCTTGTGAGCAGCATCAACAGACAGATACCGCTTCCCTTTGCGGGCTTGCCACAGGAGCCAGAGGTTTGTCCATGCTGCTGGGAAGGGTGCGGGGATGTTGCGGATGGACCAGTTGCGGAGGTAGGGGAGAAGGTAGTATAGGACTGGGAGGAAAAGGAGAGTATATGGACTCAAGATTTCTGTGAGGAACATGTCTGCGGAACAACTGGTATTGAATCGAGTTGGAAGAGCTGAGCTGAGAAACAACTGAACAAGATTCAGCGTAGAGAAGGCAGGAAGGGAAGAGCGTGCTTAAAACCTAGAACAAACAAAGCTTCCTCGACTGAGCTCTAGATCTTATATCCCAGACTCTTCTTATAATTATTCCTATCCTTCTTTGCCGTCAAGAGGGTATCTCCTTACCGGCAGCCGGAGTGAACGTCAAGCTTCAATGCACGTCGGATTTGATCAGGGAGTCCACCCTTGTGCGGCGTCTGTACTTAAACCCGCATCCGAGGCCTAGGAGCGCAAGCCGGTACAGAAATCCGCACTCAGACACAACCCATCCAATCAAACTCCAGCCGACTATGGTCCTTCAACCGGAGACGAAGCCGATTCTCTTCCCCGGTGCCTGGAAAGCTGGGCGTGAGACGACCCCGCCATTGCTGCCACCCCGAGTTTCCCCCGCAAATTTGAATTTCGTCAGACTTCACTTTCCTCCCGGCTCGTGCGAGGCCGCCAGAGTGAATTTTTCTAGACACATTTAGATATAAATGCCTGAGGCTGAAGACTGCCAAATACCGCTTTTACCTTCCGAGATTCGTGGTGATGGAATCTGTGGATTCCCTTGCACTGAGAGGCGGTCGGTCTGACATCAACCCCTGTCAGCCAAAATAGTTCCGATTGAGCGAACTCGGATTGGCTGGAAGGATGTCGAGTTCAGGTGTTCATCAGGTGGACGATCTCAAGAGATATTGCTGAGCATTAAAGGCCCTAATTTCGAGTATCACCGCCTCTATTGATGCTGGGTTACAAAGCTCTTTCATCTTGATTTATTGAGATATGGCGCTTTGTCACTGAACGCAGAACATGAATGGGGGAAATTCAGGATAAAAATTTATATCTTGATAACATTCCTTCAGGTTATGGTAAGGGGCTTAGTATGTGAGTTTCACCTTAGCCATGTTCAATATTACTCGATAACATGCTGTAATTCGTATATCAGAAGTCTAAGTCTAGGGATATCATAGGTAAGAGGCCGTCTACTCGTAATTCATTCATCAGACGCATAACTCATTCTCCCATCCCCACTCCTCCTCTCTGGATCCCCATCCCCACCATCATCAAAAACTCCCGGCTCCCAAGCCCTCACTTCTCCCGCTAAACCGACATGAAACCGGTCTTCAATATCAATCCCATACCTTAACATAACATTATTCGACTTCCTTAGATCCTCTCGACTCTTAACACATCCACAGCTCTCATCCCAGTCAACACCCCGTCCATGGACCGCGTACGCAATGGTCAGAAACGTTGCTTTTCTAAATGGAAGACGGTTTAATTTGCTGTAGAGCAAGTCTGAGCCGCTTAGGGCTAGGGCGAGGTAGAGGAGGCCCAGGAGAATGAAAAGCACGTAGACGCGGACAATGTACACCGGTCGAGGCTCTTCTCCGAGAGCTGGGACAGTTGCTGTACCGAAGTATCCTCCTGTTGTGATTGCTGTGATGGATTGTGCTAGTACGCCTAAGATGCGTTCGTAGTGGGCAACGGTTGGCATAATGAAAAAGGGCTCGAGCGTCATCCGAAACGAGTAGTCGTCGCGAAGGTAGAGGAGCCAAGGGATTGCTGTCATGTATCCAGAAAGAGCATCCAAAGCAATTGTATCCAGCACCGTAGTGTTCGCTCCTGGGGTCTCGGTACAGTTCTCCATACCGTCTCCAGTAGCGAGGCAGGAGCTGACTTGCCACTTCATCGTCGGTCGGCACTTGACTCGCGATATCCAAGTTCCGTATTTAGTTGCCGTGATGCCTTCCACCTCTAAGGATTCGGTAGGATTGTAGTGCTTGAGCAGAGACGCTTGAGCAACATACGTTGTGCCCCCTCTTGGAATTCCGCTCGATGTCTTGGGAGCATCGCTCCACATGTATATGGTAGTATCCCCTGACTTGCTCCAGGAACCGGTTTCATTCTTCGTACCATCAGGCCAAGTGAAGGTGACTCGTGGCTTGCCATTCTCCTCACTAATGTCGTACTTGATATCGTCATCTGCCGGCTCGCAATGGGAATCCCAGAGGAAAGACACTACCCCATCATATCTCACCCCCGGAGTGAAGGTCATGTTGATGGTAGGGATGGGACCTAGTTGATTCGAGGTCATGTTGAGCAACATCTTTCGACTGACAACGTATCCTTTGTATGTGTCCGCCATCATATTTAAGACTAGGTCGTCAGATTTAAATCCGGGCTCGAAAGGTCCCGTACCGCTGTATCCCATACTGGCACTCATGTCCAGTAAAATATTTGAAGGATGAACAGGTAGTCCGACCACTCCTGTATGTCGAGTCTGCGGTACATGCGTCCCAGTTGTAAGAATCAGCGAGCTAACAGGGACAATAGCTGACCCAATAGCCATGAGCATCCCAAGCATGAGAGCCCTCCACCGTGAGTACTTCCAGACTGTAAGCAAAGACCATGGCCCGACGTCAATCATCTTGTCCAAATCAGCAGCGCTAACCGGGAGCCGGTGGGCAATCGAAAATGGATGGAGAAGGCCGAATTCCAGACATATTTGGCTAATAAGAGCTGCTGCTGGAACCATGAAGGCTACTGATGCGACCCCAGAGTAAAATTGGTCGACCTTGACATTGCCCGTTGGAAGGACGCGTTGTGACCAAGTGTGATGTGTGGGACCTGAATATGCCCACCAAACGGTACCCAGAATAGCGACGGAGTAGAAAAATACCAGGAGTAGGAACCATCTCAGTGGTTCTCTGAACAGGAGAAGTCTGTCGGCAGTGGGATGAGGTTTGCGGTTGGAGTCTTTCTGAAGCTCGACATCGTCGACTGTCCAAGAGTCATTGGATAGGCATGTGCTGTAACTGGCCATGGGGATTTATTCCAGCTTGGAGGGCGACAAACGAGGAACTGAACTTCGGGCATCCTGACATGATATTGTGTGCAGCTTCGATGGCTTAAGAATGCCAGAGAAGATAGAGATTTGAAGTGAGCGGTCTGGGGCAGAGTTCGAAGCTGCTCGTGCCAACGTTGCAGCAAGCAAACGCTGTGAGGACTGGAACAACTCCGGAATGTAATCCTTGTATCCTGCGGGTTTGGCGCATTAGTGAGATCGCTCAAGTCCGGAATGGCTATGCTGAGAGCTGAGGCTGAAGAAGTCCCGTGGCAACTAGCCTGAACTAGGCTTAGCTTCAAGAGAAATAATCAACTCTAAAACGAGGTTGCATTACTCCACTCTTGCCTCGTAACGCTACACCGCTCTTCGTCGATGGACCACATTAAAAATCCGCTTCAAAACTCAAATCTACTTCGCCGCAATTCTCTGCATAAATCTTGCAAGACTCAGCCTTCTACTTTCAAAGCATTTCTAAGTCATTACATCTCAATTATCATCATCTTTCTTCAAATCTCGGCTTTTTCAGCAAGGCGAGGGAATAGATTATGGAATTAAGGGAACATGTAAGTGTCTTAGCTGGGCAATAAAACAACGGAATGTGAATCTCATCGACACACATCCAAGAGTATCCTACACCAACCGTACCCCAGAGGGAACAAAAGGGAAAAGTGGTCTTGAGAGCAAAGCATTCTTATCTGTCGGTGATACTACAATGCAGTGCAATCGGCCTCTCCAAGACGCCCCCCCCAATGGTATAATTCGCTGCCTTGTTACCTCCTTACGCTTCAGCGTCGGCACTGTAGACCACCGTTCCGTCTTCTAAGGAATCAGTCTTGATTCTGGGAATTTCATCTAGTCATCGTCCTCGAAGAAGTTTAAAATAGCTTTCACCGCCATCGGGCCCAGCCCGTGAGGCGGGTAGCATATATAGCTTGGGTCATCAACCGCACCCAACTTCTCTCGGAACTCGGTTTTGTTGGTCAACCTCAGTTCGGTCGCAATGGCGTGGTACGCCCTACTTAACACCTTGACTCTTGTACCCTTCACGTTATGTCCTGGGGTAAACCTGGAGCTAGCACCGCCGCCGAAGGTGACAGATGTCGCGCCGCCTTGGGCAACAACCTTGAGGGCATGTGTAACAATTTGTTCAATGGAACCGCTAGGCGCGCCGGGAAAATCTAGCGAATACTTGACTTGCCACCCATGGTCAGGGCTCAATTGCGCCATGGCGACAAACGCGGCAACGGTGCCATCGGGAGTCTGCGCGAAGTGGTATTGACGGTGCTCCATATCTTGCCAAGGCCGAATGTTTGTCAAGTGAACTTGACGACCCTTCCTGTTGTGTAGCCAATCCTGGACACGAGCATCGAGTTTCTTCTTCAACTCGTCTGGAATAGGTGTCCCAATGGGGTAATCGATGATTTTGACACCCTCGCGCTCGGCATGACGAATCTTGCGCTGAATGTCGGCATCATTCACCGCAGGGTTGTGCGCCGGGTCTACGCGTTGCTCGGAGACGACAGAGAAAGTGCGCCAGTTGAACTTGGTGGCGAGAACTTCCTCCGCATCTGATCCAACCAAAAGCCACAAGGGCTTAAGGTTCCGTTCCTTTTTTATGTATTTCAAGTATCCAGTCATGGTCTTCAGGTATTGGGAGACATGACAAAGAGGGTCACCAACGGTGATTGCGAATCCGTCTTGCGGAACGAACCCGACGGCAGCTCCGGTGAAATCGTCTCGCCAGATTTCTGTTCGAGGTTCGAGCCAAGATGTATTGGTCGCGTCTCCATAGTTAGCGATGAGCTTCTCGATGGGCTGGAAGTCTAAGCCCGCAGCAGCTCGGTCTGTTCCCTCCCATGGAGGGTGCATCGTGCTTGCATCTGGGTGTCTTAGTTGCTTGATCACTGGCCTCTCTGGTAAACTCTTCGGGTCGCGGGGGAACATTGACGCGTGTCGGATGTTTCCGAGGTTGAGGAGGAGCATGAGAATACGCTCAAGACCAATACCACCTCCACCATGTGGAGGAGCTCCCCACTCAAAACCTTGAATGTAATCCTCCATAGTTTTGGGGTCAACCTTCAGCCTCTCCATCTTGTCTAACAGCATTTGCGCGTCGTGGATACGCTGGCCGCCACTAAGGATCTCTTGGCCACGAAGGAAGATGTCGAAAGAGTTTGTGACCTCAGGGTTATTGGGGTCTGGCATCGCGTAGAACGGACGAGCGTTAACAGGGAATTTATCGAGGACGTAGTAATCTGTGCCCAGCTTCTCTTTTATCACACGACCAAGCTGAACTTCATCTCTGGTGCCCATATCCTCGTTTTCGTCGAGCGAGTTGCCATCTTCGTCCTTCCAACCGGACTCGTTCAGCATCCGGATAGCTTCGGCAAACGGAATGATCGGCGTCTCATCTAACCACACCAAATCCTCGTGGGGAAATTGCCTCTTCACAATCTCGATCTCCGGGCGGAAGCGCTGATAAATTCCTGTGAAAATGGCCTTGAATGTTCGGTCTAGCGTTCGAAGGACTTCGTGATAATGCTCATCAATCGCCATCTCAAGATCGAGACCGGTGTATTCAGTCAAGTGTCGGTAAGTGTTGCTGTTCTCTGCACGGAAGACCGCGCCGATCTCGTATACTTTGCCAAAGTCGGCCGAGATACTCATCTGCTTTGCCAATTGAGGACTCTGGGCTAGGAAGGCACCCCTGCCAAAGTATTCGACTTTGAAGACACTGGCGCCGGACTCGGTAGCACCACCTTGCAACTTTGGGGTGTGAATCTCAATGAAGCCTTCGCTGTCGAGATGGGTGCGGAAAAAGTGGCAGATACCGGACTGGATGCGGAAGATGCCTTGAGAGGTGGTTGTTCGAAGATCGATAACCCGGTTTGTTAGACGGGTTCTGTCCGCAATCCTGACACGAGTTTGTCCCTCTTTATGATCGTGTCGGGCAATCTCCTCGTCGATATCTTTCTGGGACACTTCGGCCTCGTAGACGTTGAACGGGAGAGTCTCGGTCACGGACGCCTCTACATGAAGCTCGTGGACGGAGATTTCAACGTCGTGGATGCTGGCCCCAGTGACTTCTCCTTGCTTCGACTGTGGTTCTTGCAGAATCCCTTTGACTAAGACAACACTCTCGGCCTCCAAATGTTCTGCCCAGTACAACATGTACTTGGTGATATCAGCGTGTTCCACTAAGACACCCTGGATGGTCCCAGTCTGCTGTCGGAATACGAAGAAGACGAACTTGGCGCTCATCTTCCTCAAATGGTGGATTCGCGCTCGGAAGACAACCTCCTTGCCAACATCTTTGGCAGTCAGGGTACGGATGTCTGCTCGCTGCTCGTGCTTCCACGCCCCTGCATAACTGTTTGGAGGCACGATCCCGTACTTGGCTTTTTGTTCCGGCGTCAGCTCCTTCTCCGCCTGTTCTTCCAACTCCTTCCTTCTCTTCTCGACTTCTTTTTCCCTCTCAATGATTTCCTTTTTCCGCTCCTCCCATGCGGCCTGCTTCTCGTGCTTCTTCAGCTGGTTTCGTGACATTGGCTCGCCCTCACGGTTGAGGGGTAGGTCGCTCTCGCTCGAGGAGGCATCGCCAATGTGGAGCTTCTCCTTGACGGCGCGGATGGGACTGTGAGTACCATGGTGGCTCAGACTGGTCTTCGAGGGGAATGTTTGGCTGCGACTGGGGCTGTCGTTTCTGCGGTGAAAGATGCCGCTGCCCCTAGGAGAATCCGCCTTGTGGTAATCGAGGCTGCTTCTGCTATCTGAAGTCGAGGCAATGTCCTTGCGGTCGAAGGTACCACTGTTCCGCTTGAACTCGCCGCTCGCGCGACTTCGTCCAAAAATACCGGACGATCGAGGGGAGGCGGGGACGGGAGCAGCGGTTCCGTTGGTCTTTGGGGAAGTGATGCCACTCTCATCGTCAGACGCCGGATTGCTGTGGGTACCTGTCTTCAGCTTTTCAAGTGCTTTCTTGAGGGACATGATGAGAGGCTGGTCCCCAGTTCAGCCCGATGATCTGATAAGACAAGATAAAGTCGCGGGCGTAACCTGCAGTATCAGATTGTTCGAGGAATGCGGTGGGGAGAGAAGAATCTGATATCAGAGGCAGATTAGGGCGTGTCTCGGAGGGCTGGCGCCTAAGTACACCAAAATACTGGCCACGAGCCCTGCTTTGGAACGCAACTTCCCTATGATGCAATTCGTACGCCGTTTGTGGCTCGTGCTTGCCGAAAGCGGCGAGCAGAGACCAGGAGTAGACTTGGCGCAAAGCTTGATCACGGAGGAGGGTTCACGTCAAGGCGACGTCACTGCAAAAAAGTAGTCGTTACGCAGGTTGGTACAACAAAGAGGGAGCGGGAAAGGCTACATCACACAGCGCGGCGGGGAGCAGTCCCCTTTTCTCTCTGCAATGCCTACAATCACTAACGGCATGCATGCTCCGGCCCAGCATTCCCTCGCGGAGCCGTGGGACATCTGCTGTTCTAAGCGGTCGAGTCCGCTCACTCATCCGCGCGATTCCGGAGGGAGAAAGTCTGTCTTGAGACCTTCTGATTACCTACGCCGGCCTGCCGAGTAGAAGCTCTGTGAAGCTTTCCCCAAAGTGCGTCTGACATGGCCAAACGAGCCATAACCCCACATCGGCGATGCATCGGACCAATGCTTGCTGCTGGCCGATTCTCACCTTTGCTGCTGGTGGGAAAGCCTTCCTGCATGACTGATGTCCATGCAGATGTGGCCCTAGTCCAGCCAGGGCGAACTGGATCAGATTATGTACGCTGGAAATGCTCTCATGCTTCGCTGACTTGCGATGACTAATCCTGTTGCGATCCAGTATCCCTTTTGGAGGTCGTGACGACTGGCTGCCAGACACCTTGAGATATTTATCCAAAACACAAAATCAGACTCGCCCAGACACAACCTGAAACATCACAGTCGATCGCTTGCTCATAACGTCGTCATATCATTTAGTACTTCGTTCTATCTTATCAACCTACCATGTACATTGCTGGCTTTCAGGGTAGTAGTATTTGACATCATCAGCAGTTCCAAAGCCTCCCCAGTGCTCGAATTCGTCTGCAACTTTCACCGCAGCTTTGACATAAAACTGGGAATCATCGCCCCATGTTTCTGCTGCTACCTTCATCGACCGCAATGCTATAGACTTGTTAGTGTTTAGCAAGGAACAGACTTTGCTCAATTTATTACCTTTCACAAAGTGCGCATCGACCGAGTGTGCTGACCGGAGCGCCTTGTCTACGACGAAATTCCAACTTCTTCCTTTCAGATCGTAGTCTGAGATCATATCTAGTTTGATTTCTGGTCGTACTTGAGCAATGTACACAGCGAGCGTGAACAACCACCATTGTCGGACGAGATTGATATGATACTTAGCCGGGACCAGTGGAAGCAGGATTCGAACGGCGTGGGACGAGGTCAAGAGATGCACGAGAAAGAAATCGAACTTGGCCTTCTCAGGAAGATCCGTACCCACGAACAAGGCCACCGCCGTCTTCTGTGATTCCTCGAATTGCTCTTTGGGATTGGAGAGATCCCAGGTGTTCCAATACTCCAAGAAAGCTTCTTCGCGTTTCTCTAGCACCTTGCTTATGTCTCCGCTGCGATGGTCGTAGAGTCCATCAAACCTCTTGTCATCTCTCACCCTCTGGAGTATCCCAATGAGCGATGCTGAGTGCCAGGTACTAGGTTTGGTGTATGACGGGTTGTCCAAGTACTTGTGGAGGGGGCTGTAAAAGCAAGTTCCGAGTGCGAGAGCTTCAATGGCAACGGTCCGCGAATTCAGTTCGTAGGCATAGCCCAAGTGGATGAGGGGATGGCCGACTACAAACATTAGCGGGGAATTTGCTGGAGGAAATTCTCACTCACGCCCCGAGACTAGTCCATTAATCAATGGCTCCTTTCCTTCGTACAAGTATTCGTCTAGCAGAAGTTTCCAGTCGTACCGCTTGGTGACTAGCTGGTCCTCGAAAAAGTCTACGAAGGCACGTTGATACCTGGACAGTCGTCAATTTAGTATGGAAGAATGAGTCCGTAGAAACATACTCCCTCTTCCCCAAGAAGTCCTTCCAGTCATCCAGGGTTATCTCGCCGGGGGAATCATGCCATGGTTCTAGCTCCTGTGCTTCGCTTTCATAGATATCGTTCAGGTGCTCATGGGTTCCTCCAAGGATGTATGCCGAGCCCAGAATCTAGGGTGCAGACTTAGCACCTACAGTCAATAGAGCATTGAAGCAGCATACATGCGGTGCATGGTTGTGGAAGCGGAGCTGGTGATAAATGATGGAGTGGTTGGCGTGATTCGCTTTGAGGAGGTGCTTGAGTGTTCGGGCTCGTCTCTCGGCTGCGGTCTCAACGTCATGGATTTCAACGGGTGGGAGATCAATCTTCGGGTAGTTTTGATTTGAATCGGATTTGAAGAAGGGAAGCTTGAAGGATGGTAGGGTAAGCATGTTGCAAGGCAATTGGCAAGATTGCGCAAAGATTTCGGCTGTGTTGCGAGGACAAAAGTGGTGAGGAGCAAAGGAGCATCATAGCTTCCTGACCTTGCCTATTACGGCATGACGCGATATTTCCATGTGGCGTCACCCTTTCGGGCCTTCCTGTTGCCTTCACAGCATTTGTTAGAGAGCTCCCCGGCTGCCCAAATCTTAGCAAAAGTCCTGTAGTAGCTGCCACATACACTCCCATCTTTGCAATATGGAACTAATTAATGTATGAGAACAAATCCATGCTTAATGAGATAACTTGATTGATGAAGATTCAATCTTTAAGTTCCAATCTCATATGTGAGCCTACGAGGCTATTGCACCATTTGTAGTACACTCTTTGACATGAAAGCCAACCAAAGTCCCCAACAAATTTGCACAGAGGGTATATCGCTTAGTACTCGCCCTCATCAGCGCCCTCCTCATCCAGAGTGTCACTGGCAACCTCCTCGTAATCCTTCTCCAGCGCAGCTAAGTCCTCACGAGCCTCGGAGAATTCACCCTCTTCCATGCCCTCACCAACGTACCAATGAACGAAGGCGCGCTTGGAATACATGAGATCGAATTTGTGGTCCAGGCGAGACCAGGCCTCGGCAATGGCAGTGGTGTTGCTAAGCATAGAGACACTTCGATCGACCGCGGCTAGTTCGCTTCCGGGGACGCTGATTGGTCTAGGGACGTTAGAGACAGTGCTGGTGCAGAAGGGGGGG